CTCTAGCTCGATCAGGGGCTGAACGGCAAAGGGGTCCAACGGACCCTCCTCCCCCCTTTACGATAGACGCTGGCAAAACACCAATATGGGCGAGGGGGAAAATACAGCTGCTGTCATAAAAATTCAGCTTGAATCAAGGGCCAGGCTTGCCAAATTTCAGCTCTCGCAGCTATCAACAAAAATAAACATGTGGAGGCGGCACCCGCCTCCCCGCCCTCCCCCCTCTCCTCTCGGCCACTGCCAGCGAGGTTTTAAGCGTATCATACAAGTTACAAAGCATCATATCAAGATGACACACCCCAGCAGCCATATGCACTGAACAAAAACTTATTACCCACGCTAGTCTATCGGCACCATAGCACATGGTCGAGACTGTCGTCAGCCACGGACGCACACTCGACCAACCCTCTGAGCCCGTTGACTGCGGGTGACCTTGACATGTCAAGCCTGATCGGCGGCCGGCCGCTGTCGTGCGGTCGTTACACGCGGAGGGGAGGGAGACGCAAGTTCTACGTTATAGCTGACCTCTGACCTTTCCCTGCGCCCTGGTCACTGACCCCGCTCCATGTCGCTGGGCGGTGGCATGGCGGTGGAAACCAGTTCTAGCCTCTACACATGCCACCATTCTAACGCTCCCCTCCCCACGCTACTACGCGGCGTGGAGTACGCTCGTGCGTAACTGGGCGGAGCAAGGGGTCACGCGATACAGGGGCGGAACTGGCTGCCCTCCCGCTCGCCGAGCGACCAACGACTAATACCCTGGAGAACCGTACACTTGGATAGAATCAGCACTCGACATAACTTTTGAGTTCATAAAAATATGAGTTCATTCATATATGAGTTCATAAAAAAGATACAGAACGTCAATAGAAAATAGTCAATCTAACAAGCATATGCTTGCTCAGACTAAAAAGTTACGGAACAAAAGTGGCTTTCTGTTTGCAGAAATTCCTAGCTATCAGAGGATTTCGGAAACTAGAGTCTCGCGTTCCAATTAAGTTTGTCGGCTCACTTGCTAACTGAAACTAGCTGAGGCTGGTTCCACCATCCGCAGACGATCGCCACAGGAGCAGCAGAATCGTGTGTCGGGCCCCGGAGCGACTCGAGCCCGGGCTCTCACCAACGGCAGCCGCACTCTCGCTGCTGGACGAGCCGACAGTAACATATGAGGGCCCTCAGGTGACGGTACAGTCGACTCTCGCTGCTGGACGAACGGACAGTAACATATGAGGGCCCTCAGGTGACGGTACAGTCGACTCTCACTGCTGGACGAACGGACAGTAACATGTGAGGGCCCTCAGGTGACGGTACAGTCGACTCTCGCTGCTGGACGAACGGACAGTAACATATGAGGGCCCTCAGGTGACGGTACAGTCGACTCTCGCTGCTGGACGAGCGGACAGGAACATATGAGGGCCCTCAGGTGACGGTACAGTCGACTCTCGCTGCTGGACGAACGGACAGTAACATGTGAGGGCCCTCAGGTGACGGTATAGTCGACTCTCACTGCTGGACGAACGGACAGTAACATGTGAGGGCCCTCAGGTGACGGTACAGTCGACTCTCGCTGCTGAACGAACGGACAGTAACATATGAGGGCCCTCAGGTGACGGTACAGTCGACTCTCGCTGCTGGACGAACGGACAGTAACATTGATATGAGCGCCCTTAGGTGACGGTACAGTCGACTCTCGCTGCTGGACGAACGGACAGTAGCATATCAGGGCCCTCAGGTGACGGTACAGTCGACCCTCGCTGCTGGACGAGCGGACAGTAACATATGAGGGCCCTCAGGTGACGGTACAGTCGACTCTCGCTGCTGGACGAGCGGACAGTAGCATATCAGGGCCCTCAGGTGACGGTACAGTCGACTCTCGCTGCTGGACGAACGGACAGTAACATGTGAGGGCCCTCAGGTGACGGTACAGTCGACTCTCGCTGCTGGACGAACGGACAGTAACATTGATATGAGCGCCCTTAGGTGACGGTACAGTCGACTCTCGCTGCTGGACGAACGGACAGTAGCATATCAGGGCCCTCAGGTGACGGTACAGTCGACCCTCGCTGCTGGACGAGCGGACAGTAACATATGAGGGCCCTCAGGTGACGGTACAGTCGACTCTCGCTGCTGGACGAGCTGACAGTAGCATATCAGGGCCCTCAGGTGACGGTACAGTCGACTCTCGCTGCTGGACGAACGGACAGTAACATTGATATGAGCGCCCTTAGGTGACGGTACAGTCGACTCTCGCTGCTGGACGAACGGACAGTAGCATATCAGGGCCCTCAGGTGACGGTACAGTCGACTCTCGCTGCTGGACGAACGGAAGTAACATGTGAGGGCCCTCAGGTGACGGTACAGTCGACTCTCGCTGCTGGACGAACGGACAGTAACATATGAGCGCCCTCAGGTGACGGTACAGTCGACTCTCGCTGCTGGACGAACGAACAGTAACATGTGAGGGCCCTCAGGTGACGGTATAGTAGCGTATCAGGGCCCTCAGGTGACGGTATAGTAGCGTATCAGGGCCCTCAGGTGACGAGATACGGGGCAGAGCAGAGGCAGCCGCCGCTGCTGCTCCGCGCCGCCCCGCAGCCCAGCCCGTCAGATCAGCCTGACGTGACCCGATGTGACCTGATGTGACCTGGTGTGACTAGAGGTGGAAATGACTAACGTTTTCCAAAATCTTGACTAATGACTGACTAATGACTAATGACAATTTTGGTTGACTGACTTTTGACTGACTAATCTTTGGTCTCAAAAGGCTTGATTGACTAATGAATGACTAACGCCATTTTTTCTTGACTTTGACTAATATTTGACTAAATTTCGGAATTTGTTAGCACTGCGTAAATAATTCCGAGACGGCTACGCGCCCTAACCCACGAAGTTGAAGAAGTAAATAATTCCGATCGACACCAGAAAAACACAAATCGATCCCAAATTTTCTCCCTAATCATTTTATGGCCAACGCGATGCGAAGCCACCGCAAGATATCTTGTCGGCCGCTACGACGCCTGGTTAGGGAGATAACAGGCGGGGAGGAGGGGGGGGGGGGGTAAAATTTATCCCCCCAGCCGGGCGCATTCGGCCGGCGACCCCCAGTGGGGCGCGGGTTAACCCTCGCCCGGCCCTGGCAGGGCATTTTTCGTAACGCGGCCTGGCTGGGGGGGGGGGGGGGGTCGATGCGATCCTTCTGGCGTTTCGAAACTAAGCGTCGTGGCGTTTCGCAACAAAGACCAGTCGATTGGTCTCAACGAGTACTCGCGATTGGTGGTATATTTTTACCATGGGTCAATATTTGACCCAGTTATGACAGGTCATTGGTCAAAGGTCAAATTTCGTGGAAAAACTATAATTTTCCAAATTACTTAGCCAATATTGGCGAATTTATGAAAGATAGCGTAATGAAACTTTCACGACCGCGTTTGGCAACGAATTAGCAACAAAATGAGGAATAGTTGACTGCATTTCAGTCATTACTGGCGTGCCGTATTCCCCGGGAACATGGGAGGCCACGCCCGCCGCTGGCGAGGACGTTTGCGAATATCGAGAGTTTTCCAACTAATCGAGTCAACATTGGTGCGTCTATGAAAGATAGAGACTTGCAACTTCGAAGAGCGTATTCCTCAGAAGAGCGTATTCCTCAGCTGCAAAATTACATATTGTTGACTTCTTATGACTTTTTATGGTGATAAAAAAGGGCTTTCAATGACGTCACGTACCACGGTACCTGGCCCAAAAAGCCGCAAGGCTATGCTCGCTGACCGGCAGCAGCAGCGGCCGCCCGTCAACCGGAGACCCGGGCGGTGTTTCACGGGATGCTGCTACCACGCTGCTATCAAATTGCGCGAGCTGACGTCACACTTGTGGTAGTGTTGGAGCAATGGGCCTGTTGATGTTTCCATGGAAACCCAATTTGACACGTGTAAAAGCAGCGTGCTGCTATCACCGGTGAAACAGGGCCCTGGGGAAGTGGGGAGTTCACTGCCACTTGTAGGAACAGTTTTGAAGGCGTTTAGGTGGAAATTGAACCGCAGATTCGGATTCAGGACCTCAAGAAACCCCACTACGGACACTAAACACAGCTCATATCACGGAGGTCAGCGTGTGAACATGCGAGCTAATCTTGGTTGACCTTAGAAAGGTCAATATACAATGTAAAGATCATGTCCAGTTAAATTCTGACATAAACCGCACGGAATAGCTTCGTTCTTGTCGATGAGATCACGTCCAGTTACGGTATGTACGATTTTGTAAAAAACGGTCGGAGGTTGTACTTATTATGACGTCATAGCTCGGTGAACTGACATGACCCGATTTTATTTATTTTTTTTTTGGCTAGCAAAAGTTGTGCAAAGGATACCCCAGAGGCTATTGAAAATTTCAGCACGATCCGACTAATAGTTCAGCGCGCATCGCAAAAAAAAACTCAGGGGGAGGGGGTCGCATCGACCCCTCCCCTGTCAGGGCGAGGGTTAAGTCACCTCACGAATCACGACAAATAAGTCGACTAATATGCAACAAAATCATTGACTAATGACTGACTAATGACTAACAAACATTTTGGTTGAATGACTTTTGACTGACTAAAAAAGTGCTTGACTAACGTTAGTCGACTAATTTTTGACTAATGACTAATATTCATTTCCACCTCTAGGTGTGACCCAAGGGGAGCGCTAACCACTTGTGACCGGTGTCTCAGGTGATGTGACCGGTATTTGGTTTCGAGGGGCTGGCGGGCGGCGGCGCGATACATACCGGCTCGTTCCAGAGGGTCGTCCAGACCCCCCCCCCCCCGCCTCACCCCCGTGTCGGCGCCTGGAAAGGCCCCGCGGGCGGCGCTGAGTCTCAAGGCCGCTGATTGGCGGAGCCGGCCGGCGGGCGCCTTCCAGCGGGCCCGGCGGCCAATCGGGGCGGCCGTTGCAGGCGCGCCGCCCCGCCGGGTCGGTGTCGAGTGTCGGCCGAGGCTATAAAGGTGACCGGCGGATTCTGCTGGCCACAGGCAGTCCGAACGTACGTACTGCGGCCAGCCGGCGGCCGGGCGTGTGGCTGTGCGAGTGGGCGTGAGAGGTGGTGACCCGACCTGACCTGACCTGACAGCACCCGAGCCGAGCCCGCCAAACAGTGAGCCATATCAGCTGCGAACCAGCTCTGTCACAGACACCTACCAGTCTAAGTCAGGGTTCCCTCGCTGATATAGCGTGCGTTCGACATCCGGATAATCAGGGATAATTTTCCGGGATCACCGGGATCATTCGGTGCTATAGGCTGACACCGTGCACAACGGACACGACAACGAGTAAAAAAGGGACGACGGTGAAAACAGGGCGCCTGGGGCGATTTTATCAAGGTTCGTTAAATTTACACGTGATGTTTGGGATATAGAAGGCCCATGGAGCGGAAGAAGTTCCAAATGTCACGTGACTAATATGCCCTCCGGCGCCCTGTTTTCACCGGCGTCCTAAAAAAGGTACCTATCTGTGAAGCAAAAGCATTATAAAGATGTGACTGAATGCATCGATGGTCACTGCAATACCAACTAATTGCCAGTGATTCCGGATAATTATCCCTTATTTTCCGGATGTCGAACGCAGGGATAATGTGTTCGCTACTTTTTACACGGGAATACTTATTTACAATACGTTAAGTAATAGCCTTTTTCACGACGGCTATCTGGTACACATATGGTGCAAATTTGGGTGCATATTTGGTCAGATTAGGGCATGCTGGGTTAAATTAGGCTCAGTTTGTTTCTTGAAAGTTATCAGTTTGGGTAACACAGGTGCCTATATACCTCATTTTTTTCTCAAATTATCAGATATTGTTTTCGATTAACCCGCACCGGGCCGGAGGGTGTTTGAACACCCCCTTTGCGGTTTTTCGCAGATATCTAAAAAACGCCGCCATTTTTGGTACACCTGTCCAGGCATCTTTTCCACACATGCTGTTGAAATGTCAGACCCGAATCGTTCAAGTTCAGGTCACCAGGTCACGTCAAGTGACCTTATCTCAGAAGAAGCTCAAAGGCTTGCTATAGCTACACCGACTGAACGATCACTTTGAAACTTTTTTAAGAGAAACAGTATGCATAAAATGTATATTTCGGATTGTTTATATCGGTGTCCTAAGGTCAGGCCAATTTGAATTATGCGACCTATTCATTACAGGTAAACTCGACAAGCTGAACTGTGGGATGGCACCCGTGACCTCTTTTTATGCCCCTGAAGTCACACCAAGTCATGAAAGGTCTTCAGTAGTTTTTTTTCACAATAACTTTTGATGGAGGCATGCTGGAGTGATTAAAACACCTCAGATGTACACCTCAGATGTATTCCAATTCAGCTCGAAAATACGGATCGACTGATATGCAGCATGACCTTTTCCGGTCCTTTTGACCTTGACCAGAGGTCAAATTTTCAAAAGGACCATTAACCCATGACTGGGGGGAGGCTCTACAGAGCTCCCCTCCCATTTTTCGGCAATATCTTCTAAACCGCTTGACGGATCAACACGAAACTTGCGATACCCTCAGCAGCATCAATTTGACACGTTATTTTAAATTTCAACTTTCTAGCTACCACACTTTGGCCGGAAATGACGTCAGAGTGACGTCATGCCTGCCAATTTTGATGCAAAATATTAAATTACGGCAAACCCTCTCAAGATCTTTGTTTTAACCCTCGCCGGCCGAGGGGGGGGGGCGGGTGCCGCCCCCCCCCATAGGGTTTTTTCGCGATAGCTCCGAACACGCTGGCGATAGAGATCTGAAACTTGGCATACCTGACCTTTGATCCAAGCCGGATCTTTTGACACCAACCGCATTTTTGGGTCAGGTCAGGTCACTGACCTATGACGTCATAAGTGAACCTCTGCACGGTCTTCAGATGTCGCAACTTCGCAACGCCCTCACTGCCAGAGGAGATGTCACAGGGAAATGAAACTTGCAGGATCTAGTATCCATTATGAGTCCCACAACTTGTATATCTCGGATTTTTCCTAAAGGTCATATGAGGTCAGGTCATTTTCGTGACCTCACCATTATAAGTCAATGGGGAAAAATTCAAACTGCTATTCTGGCGCCGGGAACGATCTCCAACTATCTCAAGCACTTAGAATCGTGATTTGATGCACTCCTTGCAAGGTTAGATGCGTCACTTTTGCAATGTTGACCTTGCGTGACGTCATTTATGACGTCATCAAGGTCAAATTAGTTTTTCGTCAATAACTCTTGATCAAATTGAGCTAGCGAGTCGGGAAAGGCACCAATGGACTCAGGAAGGCCTGCCGAATCGAATGATATGCGACATGACCTCTGTCGACCAACTTCGTGACCTGGGGGTGCTGACCTGACCTTGACCTGAGGTCAACACCCCAAGTTGACCTGACCCGGACAAAAAGTATATCATTCGACGCGCCTGAGCGAGGCGAACACGATGCTGCCAAAATCGGCGCTCTGCGGCCGTTTTTTGCGAAGTTATTCACCAAAAACTGATCCGTACCTTGGGGCACTTGACCTGACCTCAGAGGTCACCGGTTGACCTAGGACCTTAAAATCGGGTACCAATCTCTGCGTCTCGTAACGGCGCACACGCTCGTTTTTTCCGCGACGCGGTAGCTCCACCAGGGGCGAAACGGCGAGGGGGGGGGTCGTACCCGCCCCCCCCCTCGGCCGGCGCGTATGTAGAAAACCAATAGGTCCGGCGAGGGTTAAGGCTAGATCCAATTCTTTGCATCAGTTGACTACAATTACACGTAGCTATCAAACTACTATTTCGAATTTTCGAAATTTGAAATTTTTGAACAATTACAAAAAATCTATTTTTTTTTGTTATTTATTCAGAAGCAAAAATTGATTTTTTCGTAAAAACCGAAACATATGAGATAAAACACAAACTGAGGAACTACTTTAGCAAGTTTTAGCCCAATATCTTCAAAAACAGCCAAGTTATTTGCATTATTGTCAAAATTTTACAGTTATATATTTTTCGGAACCATAGTTAAGAACGTTTTTGACATCGTACAGCAATATAACTGACACCATCGTGTTCCTGAGCTCAAACTGCATCTGATAGGCACATTTTGTGTTGTAAAATTTCATTTTCAAAATTTGATCTTTTCTGACCTGAAATTGAACTGACCTGCGGTATATTCAGCTGAAAATGACCTCAAATATACACAGACGATATTTTTTTAGAAATCTACGAGTAAAATGGACCATAAAACATGCGTCACGTGACCGATACATGATACAATTTTTTGTGACCTAGGATGACTTTGCTTTGACCTGAAAATTTGAAGTAAAAGTTCGGTACCCTCAGGGTATCTAAGGCATATATCAAGGAGTGCGTAAACTAAAAATGAGCCAGATGGGGCTTGTCAGCCGGCGGTCAGAGCCTAAATTGAGAACAAGCAAAAATGCCGATAATTTTTACTTTGATCTGACCTGTGACGTCATTGGTGACCTCGAGGTAAATGAAAATAGGATTTGTTCGACGGTTTTTACAGGGCTATCAGACGCCGTTTGAATTTTGACGATCGGCCCACCAGTTTCGGAGATAGGAGGGGGAGGCTCTTGAGAGCCCCCCCCCCCCACACGTGATATGCAGATGTAAGTAAATGTTAAAATAAGAGATTAATCGGTTACATTTGGAGAATCTTGGTGCATTCGTCATAAAACCTGTCACGAAAACGGCCACTATCTGTGCAGTGCGTTTCCAGGTTCTTTATTATTAGAACCACCATGCCAACATGTGAAATGAGGCTTGTCTCATGGATTATGGTGTGTGTCAAGGCCACTTGAAGATCAGGTCAAGGTCATTGACATTTGTTACCTCCACTCGCTTTAACCCTCGCCGGGCTAGGCAGCGTTGATGCACCCCCCCCCCCGCCACATCTAAGGTTTTTAGCAAATAATTTAGGCGCGTAGCACCGCCAAATTTGGCATAACCTCTGGGGCAAACTTTTGGCACCTTCTCCGAAAAGTTCCGGTCTCTGTCATTTCAGGTCAGGTCACCAGGTCACCAAATCCGGTACAATGTCAGGGTAAAATTGGACTATAGCGCCAACGGAATCACTGCCTACGTTTATCGTTGATTGCGTAAGAACTAAGAACTGTAAGACTTGGAGCCACCAAATTTCGGACACAACTTGGGGCAGCCATTTGGCACGTTTCCTAAAAGTTTTGTGCTAGAGGTCACGCCAAATTTTAAGAAAACTTGTCTGAATAGCTCCAAGGGCAAAATATGCTCAATTTCAACACTTCTGAGTTGTTTTAGCTCCATCAAAGATGAATTCGGTGTTTGCTTGCTGAAAAAAACACTTAGGCCAGGTCATCTGAGGTCAAATGAGGTCAAATTACGTTTTTGCTAATAACTTCGCACACAATGGGGGTAAGGGCTTCAAAAATAATGTCTTTGTGTTCCTTGTGATCAGCCAAATCGAATGATAAGCGATATGGTGCATTTTTTGTTAACTTGAACTTAATTAATTAATTCAAATTCACTTAAAGTTAGAAAAATTTAAGCTCGCTCAATCTTGTAAAAAAAAGTACACCATTCGATGCGCACGGACGTGCTGAGTTCACTGGTGCTTTTAGTTTTGCTCTATGTTGATTCCAACAAATTTTATAAGCGAACAACTTTTGTTTAGTGAAACTTTTCATATATACCCCCCAAAACCCCCCTAAATATTGACCTAGAGCAACCAAACTTGTACAGGGGCGCGATTTACTATGAACCCACCTACCCTGTAAATCTGGTGTTTTTAAGTGCCATAAGAGCCAATCGCCAGGGGGGTCTTACCACCTCTCCCACCCTGGCCGTCTGCGACTGCGTTATGAAAAAGACCCTGGCCTTGCGGGGGTTAGGTATTGTGACTTTTTCGAGACGTTATTAGAGCTGACTTAGAATAAGGAATAAATTTGATCGTTTGCCACCTGCCGGCTGCCCGAACCACCAATGGGCCCAACTCTGAATGTGACGTGATGTGCCATTAGTGTGTATGGGTGTGCACTATTATGTGTGCGTGTTGTCCTGCTAGTCTCAACAGCAGCCAGTGCTTCGGACGCGGGCTGGACACCCCCAGCTGCGAAACTGTCGGACGACCGTCAGCTATCGGACCGGCGCCTGTCAGACTGGGGCCGTGTGTACCTTCAACTGGGGGGCAGGGTGGGGGTGAGGTAGCGTATCCAAACTATTGGTCCCCTGGAACCCTTACTAATGGTACTCCAAAAGACCAGCCAGTAGACCTGAAGCTGTCTCGCTGAGGAGCTCATTGCTTTTTCGACGTACTACGTGTAAGAAGAACCACCACCGAATGAATATTATTCTGCTCAAGGCCCGGCAGGAAAGTCGGGGTTGAGGGAGGTAGAATACGGTCCTACTATAAATTAACTTTGAAGCGACCTTCTCCTTGATATTATGTCAAAAATGAAAGAATTATTTACATGTGCATTCGGGCACAGCCCATCATCAGATGTAATCTGATAATGGGCTGATGATGGGCTGTGCCCGAATGCACATGTAAATAATTCTTTCATTTTTGACATAATATCAAGGAGAAGGTCGCTTCAAAGTTAATTTATAGTATTATCAATGCTCCTTGCAAAAGCACTACACGATAGAATACGGTCCCTTTGAATAGGGGGGTATTCGCCAAAAAAAGGTTGCAGAGCGTTTTTGTCTGTCACACAGTCACTGACATCATTGTTTTTCGTTCTCTGTCGCCTTTAATAATTGTCTGGGAAAGGTGAACTTGAATGTTGACCTCAAATCAAGCTCAGTTCAAGGCCACTAAGGTCACGGAGCTGGTAGAGGGAGGTCATATAGCATCTCATTCAATACGGCAGGTCATTCGAAGCTAACTGCTCCCTTCCAGAATCCATAAATGAACTTCGTGGAGCTATTGACGGAAAACTGCAATGTTTTCAGGCGATCTCAGTGACGCCACATGCATGACATCACGCAAGGCTCAAAATGCAAGCACGAAGCAGCTTGCCTTGCATGTGGTGTCTAAAATCACGATTTCATGTGCTTGAGATAGTCGTAAATCGTTCATTTTGACAAATGTTCAATTAAATGAAAAACAATATCAAATTCTTATCTGTATTCAATGTAAACGCGTTTCGATTATTTCTTTATCAATAAATCGATACAAAACAGATATAATGAATTTATTATATATGTATTGTACAGTTCATTATATCCATTCTGTATTGTATCTATGTATTGATAAAGAAATAATCGAAACGCGTTTACATTGAATACAGATAAGAATTTGATATTGTTTTTTTATACTGTTTAGGTTTTTTCTTACCTAAACTAAACAGTCGTAAATCATTTCCCGCGCCAAAATATCAATTTCCATGCTTCCCGCTTCCCGCAATGGTGATGTCACGTGGCCGACCTGACCTGAGGTGAACATAATAATAATCCGAGATAGGCAAGCTGAGAGGATTTGGAAGCTTAGGTACTACTTGCTGTATTTTCCATCTCCCTTCAATAGATAGGTACATAGTTAATAGTGCATACCTACCATGGCACTGAGAGTGTTGCAAGGCTGCGACATTTTTGGACCGGGCAGGTACACCATAGGTCAGTGACCTGACATGACCTGAAACTCCGATCAGTTGTACAACATCTGAATTAAATTAACCCGCCGGCCTCTAGGCCTCCGCTCCACCCGCCGGCCGCTGGGGGGGGTGGGGTGGGGGGGGGGGTGGGGGGGAGGGGGTACTTCTCTTACTTTTCCGACGATTTCGTCGCAATGCAAAGAGACAGAGAAGCGAAAGTTTGCACACATATTTCTGAATAGCTGGCCAAAGTTGTGTCCAAATTTGGTGTCTATCCTATACGAAGTTACGTCACAGTGACGTCAGAAGTCTAATTTAATATTGGCGTTTTTTGCTTCCTCACGACATATACTATATGTGTAGCCGAATATATATATATTTTTTTATAAATTTAGTCCGAACCTTTTGATGGGAAGGAATCACAAGGACAGAGCCACCGCTAAGCGAAGCTTGTTGCGGTGACCCTGCCCTCTACCCTCCGATCGCGCAATTCCGATACTATGGCAGAATTTAGAGTCCAAAGTTTAACGTGCGCACAAAGCCGCGCACGGCCGGTCCCCTCGCTGACTTCGCCTGGCTACGGCCTGCCACCAACCGCAACCATACCTGTCAGGAGGCCCATAAATGTCGAGCGCCCGTCGCGCTTCGAACCCGGACTGTCACAACCGGGAACGCGTGCTCTCACCACGCGGAGTCCAACGCTCTAACCAACTGAGCTACGGGACCGGCAAATATATAAGACCGATCATTGGTCAGGAACTAGTTGAAAGTGTATTTAGATGCGAAAAAATACTAAAAAAAAGACTAAAAGAACGACTGAACTTAATGACATCACTATGATGTCATCTGATGTGCTACAACTATCAAGTTTTCGTCAAATATGGCCTAGGTATTCTTTAGAAGCTATACAAAGTATCAAGCTTATATCTCATTAGGTTTCGGAGCGAGCACACAAAACGTAAAGGGGGGAGGGGCAACTGTACGCCATCACCGCGCCCCCTAGCGGCTTGTGGCAGTACACCTTGCTGTCAGTTTCAGGGGAGTTGGCCGTTTGTTTCAGTTTGGCTTCTGTTGACTTTCAGGGAGGTCTCCGTCCTAGCGTTTGGCGGCTGACCTGTGACGTCACCGATCTCCAGCACCAGCTACCACCACCAGTGACCAGCCACAGCACTAGCCATGGCTCCCAAGAAAACCGACCCCGCCGAGGACCCCGACCCCACCCCCTACCTGTAAGTACCACTGTACCACCACTAACACCGGGTACCACTGTACCACCACTAACACCGGGTACTGCTGTACCACCACTAACACCGAGTACCGCTGAACCACCACTAACACCGAGTACTGATGTACCACCACTAACACCGGGTACCGCTGAACCACCACTAACACCGAGTACTGATGTACCACCACTAACACCGGGTACCGCTGTACCACCACTAAAACCGAGTACTACCACCACTAACACCGGGTACCGCTGTACCACCACTAAAACCTGGTAGGTACTGATGGATCATCACTAATTCACTAACGTAACGTACCAAGTGCAATGACTAATACAGAGTACCTACTGCTGTGCGGCCACCAACATCGAGTCTTGGCGTAGACCTTCACACATTACTGGTGTATGTAGGTACCTACTGGTGAATGTATGAATGATGTATTCCGGTGCTTCCACGAAATGGATATTCCAGCAGCCACATCGATGAACATTTGAATATCGAGTACCTAGTGATGAATCGAATCGGTCAAGTATAATAACCTCGCTCATGTATACTAGCAAATGTCTTCTGACTAGGCGCTGAACTGGTTAGGGGCATTTATCACCGCCTCTCCACTGATCTTATCAACACCTCACCAGCCTCTGTACCGCTGGTCAGATACAGACATCCGCTGATCAGATAGACATCTGCTGATCAGATGCAGACGCATCTGCTGATCAGATGCAGACATCTGCTGGTCTCCATCTGCCCCCGCTGACCCTGTCTGGCCCCAGAGCTGACATCACGGACTTCTGGTGACCAGACCCTGACTCGGACCTCCACTGACACTGACCTCTGGCGACCTCTGACCTGACCCAGAGCTGACCCCGACTCTGACCTCAGCTGACCTCCGACATACCCTGGAGCTAACCCCGAGCTGACCCAGATCTGGCCTCTGACCTGACCCAGAGCTGGCTGACCTCTGACCTGACCTCCACTGACCTGACATTTGGCCTGACATCTGACAGGTACGTGTCCCTGGAGCAGAAGCGGCTCGACCAGAACAAGCCGTTCGACGCTAAGGTGGCCGCCTGGGTGCCGGACAAGGAGGAGGGCTTCGTGCAGGGCAAGATCGTCGGCACCAAGGGCGACCTGGTCACCGTGGCCATCCCCGGCGGAGACGTGAGTCCCCCTCCCCGGCGGAGACGTGAGTCCGCCTCTCCGGCGGAGACGTGAGTCCCCCTCCCCGGCGGAGACGTGAGTCCCCCTCCCCGGCGGAGACGTGAGTCCCCCTCCCACAGTGGAGACGTGAGTCCCCCTCCCACAGTGGAGACGTGAGCACTGGGCATTAGGCCGGGAGCCGACCTCCACCCACCCACCGATCCACGCATGGAGCATGGACGGGAGAGCGGCCAGGGACACCCGCCTTCCCCAGACGTCAGTGACGGGGAGGGGGCGGCGGGTGGGTGTATGCTTAGACGACGTCTCAGCCTCTCGGCAGATTCTCACCTTTTCACCTTTCTCCGTTTCTCACCAATTCAAGAAAATTGTTGCTCGCATTTTCAGAGGTGTGCTATCAAACCTCCTTCCATTCACCTCCGACCCCGGAACCCTGATCTTTGACCTGTGACCTGTGACCTCGGACATGTGAACCCCGATCTTATCTCTGCTCTCTGATCTGTGACCTCAGACTCCTGATCCCTGAACTGACCAGTGCCTCTGACCCTGACCTCTGACCTCTGATCTTTGATTTTTAATCCTGGCCTGTGACTTCTGAACTGTGACCTCTGACCTCAGGAGAAGAGCATCAAGAAGGAGCAGGTGCAACAGGTGAATCCGCCCAAGTACGAGAAATGCGAGGACATGTCCAACCTGACCTACCTGAACGACGCGTCGGTGCTGCACAACCTCAAACAGCGCTACTTCATCAAACTCATCTACGTGAGTGGACTCGGAGGGTCTCAGAGGGCTGACGGGGACTCTCAGCTACGTGAGTGGACTCAGAGGGTCTCAGAGGGCTGACGGGGACTCTCAGCTACGTGAGTGGACTCAGAGGGTCTCAGAGGGCTGACGGGGACTCTCAGCTACGTAAGTGGACTCAGAGGGTCTCAGAGGGATGACGGGGACTCTCAGCTACGTGAGTGGACTCAGAGGGTCTCATAGGGCTGACTTTCCGGACCCAGTCGGTGGGCGGGCTCGTGATGGAGGCTGTGTACTTTAAAATTTCAGTTAAAGTTAAGCAAACTCAACAGTTCCTTAGTTCATAGGTTAATTAACCCGCGCCCTGATGGGGTCTGCCGAGCAACGCGGTCTGATGGGGGGGGCATTTTGCCCCCCCCCCCTAAGATCTCGAGAACCACGCAACATAGCGACAAGCGGTAAACGGCAGTGAATAGCCCCAACGGGGAACTACCTTGTAACCCAATTTCATTGAACTCGGTCAAACCGATGACGTCACAGGTCAGGTCAAAGGTCGAATTTTCACCGTTTACAGGCATTTCAAGAAATGCGTTGTAAAATCGAGTAAAATGCATTTCATTGAAAATCATCGATTGAGAAATGTTCTTCAAACATATATTTTGCTATTTGAGGTCACTGATACCAGGTCAGGTCACAGAGGTCAGGTCATTGGGGGGTCACAATATGAAAGTGTCGTGTGATACATGTTTTATGGTCCATTTTGCATGCCATTTGCGATTATGTGGGTCAGGCAGACTTTTGGGCCAGCTTAGGTCACGTTTTGGTCAAGGTCAGGTCAAGGTCAGGTCAAGGTCAGGTCAAGGTCAGGTCAAATCAGGTAAAATTTCAAAGTTGATATTTTTGCATAAAATGGCTATCAATTCGATGCAGCTCGTCACGGGGAGTTCAATGGTGTTCGCCGTTTTGCGCTACGAGGTCTAGAATTACTTGAAATCGAGTTCAAAAATTTGACGTCATCAATTTTTAACAGTTTTTTCGCTCTAACTTGGCCAAAAAAAGGCATCGATCTACAACTTGGTATGTTTATCGAAGAGCGCAGGTACTATCACATATATTCCTGTTTTTTCGAAATTCGAATTTTTTTGAAAATATTTTGAGTTTTACTAAAAAAAGATCATTTTTTTTTTATTTGTGGGGGTCAAAATCCCAAAATTTCGAAAATCCGAGATAGCAGTTTTGTAGCGCTGTCTTTTCTCTACACAACCAAATAAAGAACTTTAAAATTGCTTGTTAACTGTAGAATTGGTGAGCGTTTCAAGATGTCATGTTTTTTGCTCATTTTTACTCGAACATGACCTAAGTTTGACCTCAATAACTCCTGACCTGAGGTGACCTGTGACTTGAAATTTTGTGTGAAGGTGTCAAATTCATGCCCGGTAAGGTGCCCAAAATTTGGCGGCGCTGCGCGCCGCCGTTCTCTCACTATTTAAGAAAAACCACAGGGGGGACCAAAATGCCCCCCCCCCCTCAGGGCGCGGGTTGTAACTGCCTGAGCCTCATACCGCACATCACTCGGCGCGGCTGATCAAGAGGAACACAGTGACACGATTTTTATGATTTAGCTCCAAGTTATCAACAACAACGTAGTTTAACGTCATTAGGCCCCAGCTGACCTGAATCTAGCGTTCTTGCACCAAAAAAAACACAGCTCAGGTCACGTGTCGGTATGCATTTGAACACAAGACAATGAAACGGAGCTAATATTGTTATCATGTATTTGCAAAATTGGATCTACATATTGGAAGCTTTTCTCACATACGACATCATGACCTATAGATGGCCTGAAGTCTAAGAAATAAAAAATCGAAGTTCTCAATAACACTCAGTATTGAAATAAGCACACCCTGCAAGTTGGAATAAAATCGATGCCCAACTCTGAATTTCACAGCAAAATAAGTGCACCTTCAGTGCTATTTCGCTGATGTCCCTGGTAACCTGACCTGAAGATACTGGGACTGAGAACTTTCAGAAAATGTTATTAAAAGGTGTTCTAAGTATGCTAAATGCGCCGCTGCGTCTCACCATTGTTACGCTATCTGCGAAGGAAGGGGAGGGGTACATCGATTCGTCCTGCGCCGGGCTGGAGTTAGTGTTTCTCGACCCATACGAGAAATTTAATGTTTCTCGACCATTTTTCTGTCACCTCCCTGCTGACCTCTGACCCGGTGACCTGACCCAGTGACCTGACCCGATGACCTGACCCGGTGACCTGACCTGACCCGGTGACCTGACCCAGTGACCTGACCAGATGACCTGACCCGGTGCACTAACCAGGTGACCTGACCCGGTGCGCTGACCCGGTGCCCTGACCCGGTGACCTGACCCGGTGACCTGACCCGGTGACCTGGCCCGGTGACCTGACCCGGTGCCCTGACCCGGTGCGCCGTTTCAGACGTATTCGGGTCTGTTCTGCGTGGCCATCAATCCGTACAAGCGGTTCCCGATCTACACCAACCGAGCCATCGCCATCTACAAGGGCAAGAGGCGCAACGAGGTGCCGCCGCACATCTTCGCCATCTCGGACGGCGCCTACACGGACATGATGAACAGTGAGTGATGTCACTGGGGTGCTGGAGGGTAGTGACGCCACGCACGGGTACTGTCACAAGGACATGATAAGCAGTGAGTGACGTCACTGGGGGTACTGCAGGGTATGACGTGACAGGGAACCATCGGATGATCACGCCATGCTCGGTATTGTTGGTCGGCGCGGTCCTTTCTTCAGCTGGCAGGCCGGGCCTTACTCCAAGTCTGTTCGCCGCGTTTCACTGGCGCCCCGGAGCCGTTCCAGCTGCGCCGGCCCGCCAGGATCCAGTCCGCCAGATCACTTTCCGCGCGCTATTTTCGGCGCGCCCTCGGGCCGCCTGGAATCCAGGCCCCGCGGCTATATTGGGCCGCCGCGCCGCTGCTGCCACCTGTGGGCGGCCGGCGCAGACTGGCGGTGAGCGGGGTGTTGGTGTGTTTACACTGGCGGCGCAGCGTTAACTCGCCACTGACGGAGCTCTCTGGTTTCAGACTCGGAGAACCAGTCGATGCTGATCACGTGAGTAACTGGCCGGGGCGCCTGGCGAGCAGCGGACACGGTCCAGTGCGCGGCAGATATAGCAGTGCAGACGCGGCCGGGCAGTGCACCCTGTCCATTGGACACCAATGGCGACGAGGCACATCGAGAAAACATTTTTTCAGCAAATATCTGTCCCGAAAGTCTGATCCTAGACATCATACATATCTATTGTTATTTCAGATTCATTGCTTTTACAATTAACAGACTGATAAATTCTCTAAAACAGGCAAGTTATCCTATCATAGTTGTATCATTGGCATCCTTTGCGGAAAGTTATTCTTCATAACCGCAGGTTGTTTGAAATTGATAAACACAATTCCTTAGCATTGCGTTTTTCTGTTCAATAACGTGTCGATTCGTCCTAGCCTCGATGTTATACAATATCACTTGAATTATGTGCGTGTACCCTTTTCCACAAGCACGACCTTAGCCTAGAAGAAGACTTAAATTAATCCTCGCCGGCCGAGGGGGGGGGGCGGTTGCCTCCACCCCATAAGTTTTTTTTTCGCCATAGCTCCGAACACGCTGGCGATAGAGAGCTGCAACTTGGCATACCTGAACCTGACTTTTGATTCAAGTCGGATATTTTGACACCAATTGCATTTTCGGGTCAGGTCAGGTCACTGACCTATGACGTCATAAGTGAACCTCTGCACGGTCTTCAGATGTCGCAACTTCGCAACGCCCTCACTGCCAGAGGAGCTCTAGTATCCATTACGAGTCTCACAGCCTGTATATCTCGGATTCTTCGTAAAGGTCATATATGGTCAGGTCATTTTCGTGACCTCACCATTATAAGTCAATGGGGAAAAATAGAAACTGCTATTCTGGTGCTGGGAACGATCTCCACCTATCTCAAGCACACAGAACCGTAATTTGATGCACTCCTTGCAAGGTAAGATGCGTCACTTTTGCAATGTTGACCCTGCGTCAAGATGATATTAGTTTTTCGTCAATAACTCCCGATCAAATTGAGCTAGCGAGTCGGGAAAGCCCCCCCCCCCTCGGCCGGCGCGTGTGTAGAAAACCAATAGGTCCGGCGAGGGTTAAAACGTCATGTAGGTATTGTGGGAGATCACATTTTGTTGCAAACTACACACTTTTCATGCCTATTTTTGTTCTTCTACCGTTATTCACTGGCATCCATCCGCTGAGCCGCGATGTCCCCAAATGACGTCACTATGACGTAATCACTGGTTCCGACAGCGGGGAGTCCGGGGCCGGGAAGACGGAAAACACCAAGAAGGTCATCATGTACTTTGCGCGGATTGCGCCGTCCGGCTTCAAACAGCAGTTTGCCTGCGGTGTGAGTCTCTCCAAACAAAATGGCCGCCAAACCAGCTGACGCCGGAACTTAGCCTTATGACGCGACGCTAACGGGGCGGAACTAGCCAGCTGACGCGACGCTAACGGGGCGCAGGCGCATGGCGGAAATAAAGCAGCGCGCGAACGGCAATAGCGGAGCGCGTAAACGGCAGTAACGCGGCCTTTCTCCCGTCCCGCTAAAAATATGGATCCTTTACAGTACCGTCGCCCGCACTCCGTCCTCCGACCCGAGCCGGCCCACCTCACGGGAGACCGTTCCATTCCCCCGCTGGGCGATACACTGCCGACTGCAAGCAGGAGAAACGACCAAGAGCAGCGCTCACAGGGCCAGCAGAATCTCAGCAGCCCCTATGACGGATATCCCCGTGACCCTACGGACGGAGGTCCACGCTGTTACTGCGCCACAGCCCGCGCCCCGCGGGCGGAATGGGTGACCCGGCGGTCAGCGCCGTCAGCGCCGTCAGCGCCGTCAGCCCCGTCAGCGCCGTCAGCCCCGTCAGCGCCGTCAGCCCCGTCAGCCCCGTCAGCGCCGTCAGCGCCGTCAGCCCCGTCAGCCCCGTCAGCGCCGTCAGCCCCGTCAGCCCCGTCAGCCCCGTCAGCCCCGTCAGCCCCGTCAGCCCCGTCAGCCCCGTCAGCCCCGTCAGCCCCGTCAGCCCCGTCAGCCCCGTCAGCCCCGTCAGCCCCGTCAGCCCCGTCAGCCCCGTCAGCCCCGTCAGCCCCGTCAGCCCCGTCAGCGCCCGGTGGACGGCGCTGTGCGTGACGTCTCTACAGCCCGCCGAGAGCGCCACCGCCACCAGACCCGGCCCCGGGCACCCGCCACCGCCACCAGACCCTGGTCGGCCCCTCCACCACCAGACCCGGGCACCCACCACCAGACCCGGGCACCCGCCACCAGACTTGGGCACCCGCCACTAGACCCGGGCACCCGCCACCGCCACCAGACCCGGGCACCCGCCACCAGACCCGGGCACTCGCCACCGCCACCAGACCCGGCCCCGGGCGCCCGCCACCAGACCCGGGCTCCCGCCACCGCCACCAGACTTGGGCACCCGCCACCAGACCCGGGCACCCGCCACCGCCACCAGACCCGGGCTCCCGCCACCGCTGCACCAGACCCGGGCACCCACCGCCACCAGACCCGGGCCCCCGCCACCGCCACCAGACCCTGGTCGGCCCCTCCACCACCAGACCCGGGCCACCGCCACCAGACCCGGGCACCCGCCACCAGACCCGGGCACCCGCCACCGCCACCAGACCCGGGCACCCGCCACCAGACCCGGCCCCGGGCACCCGCCACCGCCAGGCCCGGGCACCCGCCACCAGACCCGGGCACCCTCCACCGGACCCGGGCTCCCGCCACCGCCACCAGACCCGGGCACTCGCCACCAGACCCGGGCTCCCGCCACCGCCACCAGACCCTGCCGTGGCTGGCTCATTGACTCGCCGCCGCTGACAGCTAACTTGTCCAGTCTCGGCTCCCCACTCCCTCAGCAGCGGCGGGTGCCCTCGACGGAAGGAGCTCATCCCTGACGATGGGCAGACCATGGCGGCCACAGCCGACCGTCCCAGCGGCGACCTTCTCCCCTGCAGCAGATGGGTGGCCCTCGCACCTTCTGAGTGATGGCCGCCATCAACTGCAGCAGATGGGCGGCCCTCGCACCTTCTGAGGGATGCGAGATCGCACCCTCACTCTCCCTCCCCCTGAAGGCTCCTTCGGATCAAACGACACTTTTCCCCGGCAGGCTCCTTCTCCCCAAACGGTCGTCCCTGTCCACTGACCGCTCTCCCCAACGGTCGTCCCTGTCCACTGACCGCTCTCCCCTGACGGCCCCATGCTCTCTCCCCGACGGCCCCGTGCTCTCTCCCTGACGGCCCCTCCTCCCCTGACGGCCCGTCGTCCCCTGACGGCCCCTCCTCCCCTGACGGCCCGTCGTCCCCTGACGGCCCCTCCTCACCTGACGGCCCGTGATCTCTCTCTCTCTCTCTCTCTCTCTCTCTCTCTCTCTCTCTCTCTCTCTCTCTCTCTCTCTCTCTCTCTCTCTCTCTCTCTCTCTCTCTCTCTCTCTCTCTCTCTCTCTCTCTCTCTCTCTCTCTCTCTCTCTCTCTCTCTCTCTCTCTCTCTCTCTCTCTCTCTCTCTCTCTCTCTCTCTCTCTCTCTCTCTCTCTCGGTCCGCTCCCTGACGGCGACTGGCCGGTCCCTGACGGCCCGTCGTCCCCTGTGTTCTCTCTCTCTTTCTGACGGCCCGTCGTCCCCTGACGGCCCGTCGTCCCCTGACCGTGTTCTCTCTCTCTCCCTGACGGCCCGTCGGACGTCCCCTGACGGCCCGTCGTCCCCTGACGGTCCGTCGCCCCCTGACGGCCCGTCGCCCCCTGACGGCCCGTGTTCTCTCTCTCTCCCTGACGGCCCGTCGGACGTCCCCTGACGGCCCGTCGTCCCCTGACGGCCCGTCGCCCCCTGACGGCCCGCTCCTCCCTACAGCGGCGAGTCCGGAGCAGGAAAGACGGAGAACACCAAAAAGGTCATCGCCTACTTCGCAAATGTCGGCGCCTCGGGCAAAAAGAAGGAAGATGGCAAGGTGACCGTGCCGCCGCCCTGGCGGCTGTCGTGTGAACTACTGTTTCTCAGTGCAGCCGCAGACCGGCCGGCGGGAGCCGCTGTCCCTCTCTAATTTGTGTCCCTGAACCTTGCAGCTGCAGCTGTGTTCACAGCTCTGTTATTTTGTTTCACCCTTTCTAGCTGTCTTCTGAGGTGCTTGTAGCATCGGGCAGACCCGTCGCCGTGCGTCCCGTGTGTGACCTAGTGCGCCCTCTGCACGCCACCCAGCGGCCCTCAGACGGCGCCCTGTGTGACCTAGTGCGCCCTCTGCACGCCACCCAGCGGCCCTCAGACGGCGCCAGCTGTGTGACCTAGTGCGCCCTCTGCACGCCACCCAGCGGCCCTCAGACGGCGCCCTGTGTGACCTAGCGCGCCCTCTGCACGCCACCCAGCGGCCCTCAGACGGCGCCCGTGTGTGACCTAGTGCGCCCTCTGCACGCCACCCAGCAACCCTCAGACGGCGCCCTGTGTGACCTAGTGCGCCCTCTGCACGCCACCCAGCGGCCCTCAGACGGCGCCCTGTGTGACCTAGTGCGCCCTCTGCACGCCACCCAGCGGCCCTCAGACGGCGCCCTGTGTGACCTAGTGCGCCCTCTGCACGCCACCCAGCGGCCCTCAGACGGCGCCCTGTGTGACCTTGTGCGCCCTCTGCACGCCACCCAGCGGCCCTCAGACGGCGCCCTGTGTGACCTAGTGCGCCCTCTGCACGCCACCCAGCGGCCCTCAGACGGCGCCCTGTGTGACCTAGCGCGCCCTCTGCACGCCACCCAGCGGCCCTCAGACGGCGCCAGCTGTGTGACCTAGTGCGCCCTCTGCACGCCACCCAGCAACCCTCAGACGGCGCCCTGTGTGACCTTGTGCGCCCTCTGCACGCCACCCAGCGGCCCTCAGACGGCGCCCTGTGTGACCTTGTGCGCCCTCTGCACGCCACCCAGCGGCCCTCAGACGGCGCCAGCTGTGTGACCTAGTGCGCCCTCTGCACGCCACCCAGCGGCCCTCAGACGGCGCCTGCCCCAGGGGGGACTCGCTGGATCCCCCACCACCGCCCTGTGCGGCTGGCTGGCCCCGCCCCCGAGCGTGATTACCCCGCCCCCGAGCGTGATTACCCCGCCCCCGAGCGTGTTTACCCCTCCCCTGAGTGTTTGTCAAGCGCGTCTCTGACAGCGCGCTCCCCCTTCGTCCGATGCACCTTCCAATAGGTCGGAGTAAACTAATTACACCCCCACTGGCTTACATGTATGTACCCCGGCTGCATACACTACATGGAGTCTTCACGGCGCACTGGCGGTACTCCGGCGCTAGGAGTTGCTGTACTCGGCTGTGTGCCGGCGAAATGACCCGAACTTTCACCCCAGTCCAGCCTCTGCAGAGGGGCATTCATAACGGCCATGTGGCACTGGCGACGCCAATGTCCAGTGGCGAGGGAACTACTCTCAGGGGGGGGGGGGGGTGGCACATCTGATACTTCCCGGAACCCTAAATACAGTTTTCTCACCGGTGTTAGGCCACTTATTTTTCTCCCCTTGGCCGTTTCCTCGAAAGGAACAAAATGAACACAGTTTGCAAAAAAGTAAGGCATTCCATCTCAGCTGAGTCAAGGAACTACCCTTTTGTAGCCTGGAATAAAAGTTAAAGTCTGCCACATGAGCTGTCGAGCCAGGGAAAGAGTTTTTTTAACGTTTTCTCTCATTTAGTTTTCAACCCCTAATTTGGGGAGAACAAGCTGTCCTGACGGTTCCTGGCCCTATGCAAAGTCGTGTGGGCAGCGCCCCAGCGGCCCCCGAGTTGCAGGGGCAGGCTGCGCCGACTGCTCCCCCCCCCCCCCCCCCGGTTCCCGCGCCTGTGTCAATGTCGCGGGACTCGACTCCGTACTATTAATTCAGCATGATACGGATATTGGGCCTTTTAATTAAATAAGGATGCTGAGAATATTACTGCCTTATTAAACTCTGCCACCCAATAAATACCCAAAAAGCTTGCCTTAAAATGAAATAGAAATGGCGTGCCAAGCCTCTTTAGTCTTTAGTCATCAGCGAAAGGTGCTTATAATTACAGACGAAAATGTGATCTTTAAGTCAACGAGCCCGGATACGGGATAACAATAACAAGCATTTACTTAAGATTAGCCCCAATGTTTACTAAGTGCACGGTGCATGACATTAACCACTGAATAATGTGAATTGGTAGTCTGTACACGGTATTTTACGCGCATCACGTCAGAGTCAGATCCTTTTAGGATAAGTGCCACACTTTAAAAAAAACGGTATAGTTTTTGAGTTTGCTTAAAAGTGTATTATATATATATATATATATATATATATATATATATATATATATATATATATATATATATATATATATATATATATATATATATATATATATATATATATATATATATATATATATATATATATATATTGAGGTAGATATACCAGTCATACCAGTCTATTCTTCACGTGACCTTGGGACATTCCTGTGACCTCTGTGTGACCTTTGTGTGCCCTCGTTACCAGGGTAACCTGGAGGACCAGGTCGTCCAGACCAACCCCGTGCTGGAGGCCTTCGGCAACGCCAAGACCGTGCGAAACGACAACTCGTCCCGCTTCGTGAGTTATCAGCGTGGCGGCGGCCTCACCCGACATGGCGGCCGCCATATCAAACATGACGGCAGCCTCATCCAATATGTCGGCAGCCTCACACAACGTGGCGGTAGCCATATGCAGACTGGCAGCCACTAGATCGTTACTTTTGTTTATTTTGTGTTGGGTAAATTTGTAAATAACAGCTCTCCCATCGCTTCCGCCAGGGTGTATTTGCAATATCTTTCACAAAATCCCACCGTTGCCTCTAATGCAAATTTACAGAATCCCAGCTGTTCCGCGGCCGCATCTGGATTCTATCAGCAGGGTATCTTTAGCTGGATCCATTTTCGTGTTGCCGGCAGGGTAATATTATCCTGATTCTTTTAGGGGGTAAATTTACCCGGATCCATTACGCTGTCACTAACGGGGCAAGTTCATCCAGTTCCATGTCTGTGTCGTCGGTAGGGTATACACCCTCGCATATATATTTACCCTCGCATGTGTGCGGTGTTTGCCAGCTTCTTATGTGTAGGGGGGGGGGGGTCGGTTGGACCCCCTTGCCGTTTGGCCCCTGATTGAGCTAGAGCTTCGTGGAAAAAAACGAGCGTGTTGCCCGTGACGAGAGGAAGCCGATGATACCCAATTTTAAGGTCCTGGGTCATTGGTTGACCTTCCAGGTCAGGTCAATGATCCAAAAATCGGGAAAATCGGGACCTGTTAGAAAGCCGTAAAGTGTGGCTGCTAAGGGGTTTTTCGGGGTGCTGATCACGAATGTCGTGTAAGTTTTGATCATATATGATGTCGTTAAGCGTTTAGACCAGGTCGGGTCAGGTCAGGTCAGGTCAGGTCAACCGGAAGGGGTCGTGACGGGTATTCGTAATACGTGTCAACCGCCTCTGACAGCTTCGTAACATGTTACGAAGGCACCAAAACTACATACTTCGTAAATGTTCAAATGGTTGGTAAATTCGAATTCAGCTCCAAAAACTTGCCTAGAAGCATGTAAAACTCGAAAAAGTGAACCGAGGTCAACAGTGGTCGATGACCTGACCTGACCTTTAGGTGACCTTGAAATCCACCCTGATGCATGGGAGCAACATCAAATCACATGTTTGAACGTTTGAAACCACGAAAAGCTTGCAAAAGCGCAGCTAATGCGAGCCGACATACGCCGAATCGCGATTTCGGCCAAACATGGTCACGGAAAAGAGGTCACAGGTCAAAAGTCATTGGGGTCAGGGTCATGAAATTTTCAGGGTAGGTGTAAAAATGATCAATGCGAGGGTAATGAAAGTTTCGTCGCGATCGGCCGCTTTTTACGCGAGTTATTCGTGAAAAACCATGGGGGGTCCATCCGACCCCCGACCTCCTACACATGCGAGGGTTTATCCGGATCCTGGTACTTCTGTGTCGCCGGCAGGCATCAGTCGTCACTTTCTGACAGCTATCGATGGAGCTTTAGTGGCTAATTTTAGGGATACCAAAGCCATGCATAACTTGCAATGCCATAGGTCTATAAGTGTTAGTCCATTTTTGTGCCGCCGACAGGGTAAATTTATCCATTTTTGTGCCGCCGACAGGGTAAATTCATCCGGATCCACTTCGGGCCGGCCGGCAAGCTGGCCGGCGCCGACATCGAGACCTACCTGCTGGAGAAAGCGCGCGTCATCTCGCAGCAGCCGCTGGAGCGCTCCTACCACATGTTCTACCAGCTCATGTCCGGCGCTGTCAAGGGACTCAAAGGTCAGTGTGCGGCAGGCGCGGGATCGAATCCCGCCGGGCGGCGGGGCAGGGGGAGGGTCCCATAACAGAACATAATCGTATATTTGGGCTCCTTTGTGGGGGGGGGGGTTACATGTTAAAGAAGCAGCTGACATCCTTGTTTGGGTCAGAAACTTACAAACACGAATTGGGAGGTAAATTGGTTGTATCTACGTTGTGTTATTCGTCAGTCCATTCTCTACACGTGGGTACGTCTGGTTCCAGGTCAGTCGCCGCCGGAGCCCGCAGACCGCTTACGCTGTCTGTGTCCGTGTTCCCTAATCTCCGTGTCTGAGCACCTGTCCACACACCGCCGCCAATCAGCGGTCAAAGTGACCGTCCGTGTTCAGCTGTTTACCGTGTGTTAGCACCTGCCAACCAATCAGCGGTCTACGATCCGCCTTTGGCAGGTTTCTCAGCAGGTCGAGGCCGGAGCTGATTAACTGATTCGATGTTTTCTGCCGCGATTCACTGATTGATCCGCTGACTCACCGTTGTGATTCCGTTCGGTGATTCTCCGCTCCGTTCGCTGTCGGCCATTGACAGCAGATTAGCGAACAGTGGGCCGACAGTCGCCCCGGCCGGCTCCAACTGGGTCCGACAGTCGCCCCGGCCGGCTCCGACTGGGTCCGACAGTGGCCCCGGCCGGCTCCGACTGGGTCCGGCAGTCGCCCCGGCCGGCTCCAACTGGGTCCGACAGTCGCCCCGGCCGGCTCCGACTGGGTCCGACAGTGGCCCCGGCCGGCTCCGACTGGGTCCGACAGTCGCTCCGACTGGCTCCGACTGGGTCCGGCAGGCCCCGGCCGGCTCCGACTGGGTCCGACAGTGGCCCCGGCCGGCCCCGACTGGGTCCGGCCGGCTCCGACTGGGTCCGGCCGGTTCCGACTGGGTCCGACCGGGTCCGACAGTGGCCCCGGACGGCTCCGACCGGGTCCGACAGTGGCCCCGGCCGGCTCCGACTGGGTCCGACAGTGGCCCCGGCCGGCTCCGACTGGGTCCGGCCGGCTCCGACTGGGTCCGGCCGGCTCCGACTGGGTCCGACAGTGGCCCCGGCCGGCTCCGACTAGGTCGGACAGTGGCCCCGGCCGGCTCCGACTGGGTCCGACAGTGGCCGCGGCCGGCTCCGACTGGGTCCGGCCGGCTCCGACTGGGTCCGACCGGGTCCGACAGTGGCCCCGGCCGGCTCCGACCGGGTCCGACAGTGGCCCCGGCCGGCTCCGACTGAGTCCGACAGTGGCCCCGGCCGGCTCCGACTGGGTCCGGCCGGCTCCGACTGGGTCGGACAGTGGCCCAGGCCGGCTCCGACCGGGTCCGACAGTCGCCCCGGCCGGCTCCGACTGGGTCCGACAGTGGCCCCGGCCGGCTCCGACTGGGTCCGACAGTGGCCCCGGCCGGCTCCGACTGGGGCCGACAGTGGCCCCGGCCGGCTCCGACTGGGGCCGACAGTGGCCCCGGCCGGCTCCGACTGGGTCCGGCAGTCGCCCCGGCCGGCTCCGACTGGGTCCGACAGTGGCCCCGGCCGGCTCCGACTGGGTCCGACAGTGGCCCCGGCTCCGACTGGGTCCGACAGTGGCCCCGGCCGGCTCCGACTGGGTCCGACAGTGGCCCAGGCCGACAGCCTTCTAATCGGCGCAACCTTATCATGGGCGCTCCGAACACGGTCAACACAGCATCTTATCAAATTGTCTGATATTAGCCGTTTTCACGACGGCCATCTGGTACACATTTGGTGCACATCTGGTGCAGATTAGGTACAGAGTTGGTCAAATCAGGTCCAGTGTGTCTCTTAGCAGCTATCAGCTAGGGTTGCACTAATTGCTTATATGCCTGCTTTGTTATATTATCAGAGAGCATCATTGATTAAAACACTGAAATAAATTCATAAAATAAAGATATTTGCTGTAAAAGAGATTAGATGCAGATTTGGTCAAATTAGGTGCACTCGTCGGATAGCCCGTCGTGAAAACGGCTATTATTGACAGCTAGTTCCATTCATAATTAGGCATTTATCTTAAGCCTGGTAGTCTTGATTCACTTTAAGAAATGTCATTTATTTTGAAGAAAACTAGTTGTATTCCCAGAGCGTTCGAAGACCAATAAAATTAGCTCAACTATAGCACAAGCTAAAATGTTTATTTTAGCAAAGCATGCAAAGTCCCTTCGAGTCCCGTTACTTTGCCCCCCTGAGTTCGGTACTGTGCCCACCTCTGAGTTCGGGTACTCTGCTCCCCTGAGTTCCGGTACTCTGCCCACCCCTCAGTTTCGGTACTCTGTCCCCTGGGCTGGCTCGGCCCACCTGTGAGTACCGGCTCCCTGAGTGCCGGTACTCTGAGTGGCGTTACTCGGAGTGCCGGTACGCTGAGTGGCGTTTCTCGGCCCACCTCTAACGTGGCCCGTTGACCGCGTAGATAAGCTGCTGCTCTCCGGCTCGGTGCGGGATTACCACTTTGTCAGCCAGGGCAAGACGACCATCCCCGGTGTGGACGATAAGGAAGAGATGGAGGCCACCGATGTGAGTGGCACGCTGAGCGTTACAGCCTCTTACAGCCGCGCCGGCCGCCAGCTGCCGGCGCTGCCGGCGCTGACTGCGTGTGCGCCAGCTAACGGGAACCGCCGGCCGCCGCTGCCTCTCTCTGTGTGCCTCTCACAGCCATTCACCTACGGAAACAAACGAACCAGCACGGAAACAAACGAAACAGCGCGGGAAAACGAAACTCGCAAACAGCAGCAATCAAATACACAGGCGGCTGACTTCCGCCCACAGAAAACAGTTACAAATCTGCAAAGGCTCCAGAAATGTAAGCCAAGCAGAGTTGCGCGAAAATAATTTATTCCTGGTTCTGACCTTATTCGGCTTGGAAAAATTGACTGATTGAGGTATTTGGTCGTATTAAGCTATTATCTAAAATGTGTATTTAAACAAAATTTGCTATGGAAAACAATTCACACAATGTTCAAAACTTCACCAATGCTTATTTATGTCATTGTTCAAAGGACAAAAGGCACAACAAAACCGAAAAAGAATGGACACAACACGAAGTCATTTATCTGTCTGTCGGACAGCCACACCTTATTACCCCACAGCGTTACAGCTTCGCCGCCGCAGCAGCGGCACCAGTTATCCGCCGCCGCTGCTGTGGCACTATCCGCCGCTGCTGTGACACTATCCGCCGCTGCTGTGGCACTATCCGCCGCTGCTGTGGCACCATCCGCCGCTGCTGTGGCACCATCCGCCGCTGCTATGGCACTATCCGCCGCTGCTGTGGCACCATCCGCCGCTGCTGTGGCACCATCCGCCGCTGCTGTGGCACTATCCGCCGCTGCTGTGGCACTATCCGCCGCTGCTGTGGCACTATCCGCCGCTGCTGTGGCACTATCCGCCGCTGCTGTGGCACCATCCGCCGCTGCTGTGGACTATCCGCCGCTGCTGTGGCACTATCCGCCGCTGCTGTGGCACTACCAGCCGCTGCTGTGGCACTATCCACTATCCAGCTCCTCAGCCCCACAGTAACACCGTATCCACCGCCGCTGCTGCCCTGCCGCCGCCGGTTGCTATGGCAGCGGCCGTCCGTCGACAGATCGCCATGGTAACGCCGCGTGTGGTCCTGTTCGACAGACAAGCTGTTCCTCAGCAACGACATAAAGGATTACCACTACGTGTCGCAGGGCAAAACGACCATCCCGAACGTGGACGACGGCGAGGAATTGCTGCTCACCGACGTAAGACCGACCCTCTGCGGGGCTCCCCCATACCTTATATCAGAAATACCCTACCCTACCCTACCCTACCCTACCCTACCCTACGCTACCCTACCCTACCCTACCCTACCCTACCCTACCCTACCCTACCCTACCCTACCCTACCCTACCCTACCCTACCCTACCCTACCCTTCTCTACCCTACCCTACCCTACCCCTACATCACGACCCTCTTTGAGGTCCTGCCCTACCGCATACCAGACATATCCCTCCCTACCTCAGCAACGTAAGACCATCGATGTGTAGGATTCAAACCTAACAGTTACCATAGGTATCCTATCGTAAATATCCCATATCTGCTGGAAACAACGTCCTTCCGTGGGTACTGTAGCCCCTACTAAGGCCGACCCTATTTGTCAATCTACCGAAAATACCCTATACTCGTATACCGTTCTCCTGCTCCACAGACGCGCGACTATCCTACCGACTTCCAACCACCCACCCGTACCCCATCCCACCCATACCGGACATCATACCCTGACCGGTACCGTCAACATCCCACCCATACCGGGCATCATACCCTGACCGGTACCGTCAACATCCCACCCATACCGGACATCATACCCTGACCGGTACCGTCAACATCCCACCCATACCGGACATCATACCCTGGCCGGTACCGTCAACATCCCACCCATACCGGACATCATATCCTGACCGGTACCGTGAACATCCCACCCATACCGGACATCTTACCTGACCGGTACCGTGAACATCCCACCCATACCGGACATCATACCCTGACCGGTACCGTGAACATCCCACCCATACCGGACATCATACCCTGACCGGTACCGTGAACATCCCACCCATACCGGACATCATACCCTGACCGGTACCGTCAACATTCCACCCATACCGGACATCATACCCTGACCGGTACCGTCAACATTCCACCCATACCGGACATCATACCCTGACCGGTACCGTCAACATTCCACCCATACCGGACATCATACCCATACCGATTACCGGACATCATACCCTGACCGGTACCGTCAACATTCCACCCATACCGGACATCATACCCTGACCGGTACCGTCAACATTCCACCCATACCGGACATCATACCCTGACCGGTACCGTCAACATTCCACCCATACCGGACATCATACCCATACCGATTACCGGACATCATACCCTGACCGGTACCGTCAACATTCCACCCCGCCGTACCCCGCCGACCGGACACTGCTCCGTTCTGCCCCCCCCCCCGTACCGGGGGTGTCCGGTCCCCCCCCCCTCCACGGAGTCACAGCGTCAGGGACGCCAGCCACCTGCCCAACCCCCAGTCAGTCCCACATGTCACTCAGCTGCATGATCGGCTCTCTCCAGCCATCTACATTGTACAATTACATCCATACATAAATTGCCGGCTGGCCAGCCAAAAGAGCGTCTCTTCTAAATGAAGTCTTCAAAATAATTACAATAGTGAGTATCACAATACTGCACTTAGGATGAGTAGGATTGAGAAATGAAATTTGAACTGACACTACCAGTACGTAATAATTGGGGACAAGACTTGTGAGGCGACAGCACCTCTTCTAATGATTTTCTCTCTCTCTATTTAATTTTAGGCCAGACTAGGTTAGCGGTTTTTCTTAGCAGTTGGTCGGTATTAGCACAGCCACAGATAACAGGAGTACTACTGTTATCTGTGGCACAGCATAGCCTGTCACACAGCAACACTGACGAAAAAAACAATGAGAATTATATCATTGAGCCAATGTCACCCACTCTGCCTCACTCTCAGGCCGACCTGCCGGCCGCAGTCGGGCGGCGGTGCGGTGCGCGCGCGCTCTCTCTCGCCCCAGCTGTCCCCCGGGTCCGGGTCAGGGGAGGGCGCTAGGCGGGTATCAGGCGCCTCTCCCGCGTCCGGACTCGGCGCTCCGGTCGCCCGGTAGGCACTAGGCAGCTGAGTCCCGATCGCCCGGTAGGCAGCTGAGTCCCAGTCGCCCGGTAGGCAGCTGAGTCCCGGTCGCCCGGTAGGCAGCTGAGTCTCGGTCGCCCGGTAGGCAGCTGAGTCCCAGTCGCCCGGTAGGCAGCTGAGTCTCGGTCGCCCGGTAGGCAGCTGAGTCTCGGTCGCACTCCGCAGCGTCTCGCTGCCGTCCACGGCACCCGATGTTAGCGGTCAGTCGCCACAGCGGATCTCCAGCTGCCCCAGTGACGTCACAGGCAGGCCCAGTGACGTCACCCTGTGTGTGTGTGTGTGTGTGTGTTCGGACGGCCGCTGACCGGCGCCCGCGCAGACCGCGGCCTGCAGTGCCCGCCGTAGCGTGTGCCGTGTGCGCCCGTTTCCTGTAGCCGGACCCGCCGCTGCTGTCCCCGCTGTGCAGTGGGCCGGGCCGCCGGTCTGTTCCCCGCAGATCTGCACGCCCCTGACGCCAGCGCGGGCGCCACCGCCCCCTCCGAGACCCCCTCTGCGCTCTGCGGTGATTGGCCGCGGCGGGCGAGTCCACTCCGATCTGCGGGGAGGTAGTTGTGATACTGCGCCGCCGAGCACCGGTGTGCTGCGGCGCAGTATACCAGTGCAGGCCGCGTCCGCCGCGGCACTCTGAGCAGCCGCATTGAACCGCCCAGACTCTGCCCGTCCATTTCAGCTGAAACACGGACACAGCATTTGTCGGCCACATAATACGCCTGATTCTCCTTTGTTGGCTCGGTTTTGAAGCCCAGAATCACAACAGTTTGGAGTCAAAATCAAACTAGTTTGCCGTAGCATCTTCAAGGCAAGGTATACCAGCGATGTTTCCAGCACCAGCAGGTGACTGTGTCCGTGCTGACCCCCCCCCCCCCCCACCATTACCGTGTCACCGACACGGCGCCCGACTGCCGGCCGCTGCACCCTCCGACCGCCCTGTGTGGCCTCTGACCTGTGTGTGACCCCGCTCTTTTTACTTCTTTGAATGTGTTTACGTAGTAGCTCGAATGGTGTGATTTGGCTGACGCTGGAGTTGCACGTTTCTGTTCCTGAGACGATAAAAACTTGTTTTTTTATTTACGGAAAATTGCAATAACGTAATCAAACAATTTAGTGGGCTATCAATAGAACTTGAAAACACAGCCTCACACATCGAAACGTGCAGCTGCAGTGGCCGCTCCTCCCCCTCCCCCTCCCCACGGACCGGCCCGGGACCGGGTCCGATGTGACGTCAGTGTGACGTCACTGCACGCAGAGCGGCTGCTGCTCACCCAGGGGATTCGCGCCTACCGGTTCGTCTCGCAGGGCAAGACCACCATACCGGGTGTCGATGACGGCGAGATGATGCTGGAGTGCGACGTGAGTACCGAGTACCTATCGCGCCCTTAGTGGTGGGCCAGTGAATCCAACAGGGTATTTACTATTTACCCAGCACACCCATAGTGGTGGGCCAGTGAATCCAACAGGGTACTCATCACAATGCCACACCCATAGTGGTGGGCCAGTAACTCTAACAGCGCGTCGGTTGAACGGTGCACGCAGAGGCTGTGGGCGGGGCGAGATTTTAAGATGATTGGCCTCAATGTCGTATGCGTATATCGCTTAGCGGCCAGTACTCATTATTATGTATAAAAAGTACTTGTATTTTCTGTGGAAAGGGCCGAACTGGTGGTGAAAAATATGGTCTTATTCAGAAGTGGTATTGTAGATATGGAACCCTGGGGATGCGGTAGTTAGCTTGTCACCAACTTTAGGCACCAGTCGTTTTGAATAAAAAATCGCTTCAGATATTGTCTGTCACTCATTGGGTTATCCCGATGGCCATTTTGTCAAACGATATAAAACAAAAAATGCATAGGCTTGGCGTACCTACCCAATCCAATGAATGTACGACGTAGCTAAATACATTATACAGGTTTATGTACTTCAATTGTTTGAATCTATGAAGAAAATAATTTTCAGAAGTAGGTACAGCCAAGATACCTACAGGTAGGTATAGGTGCCTACGTATTTCAAATTTCGTATTTTCGAAGCAACGAAGCAAAGGTATCTAAGGTTATCACATGATATTCAGAAATTGAATTTTTCAATGCCTCCAGGTCATTGAAGTGTTTCGATTTTAAGCCGTGGTAAAATATGCCCCCATGAAATAAATAAAATATAAGGCCAGTCACACCACACGTCACCCTGACAAGACCCGTGTCAGCCAGCGACACACCTGGTGTCAGAAGTGATAACTGATACACCCAGTGTCAGCGACACACAGTCAGTGACACACCGTCAGTGACACACAGCCAGTGACACTCGGTGTCAGTCTCGGCCATCACACACACACACACACGTGTAGTCACTCACCAATGACATCAGCCGACGGAGCAGCCAAAGCGCTCTCTCTCTCTCTCTCTCTCTCTCTCTCTCTCTCTCTCTCTCTCTCTCTCTCTCTCTCTCTCTCTCTCTCTCTCTCTCTCTCGGCCTGGCTTTGGCGCTCCGCTCTCTGCCTCTGCGACTCCCGCCCTCTCCCCAGACCCCGCCCATAAAACCCCAGCCGAACCGCCCTGTCTGTCTATATGTCTGTCTCTCTGTGATGTTCTTACCTTTAATTTAACGTAAGTCTTGAAAACTTATTAGTTATCACTTCGTATAAATATGCTTCATACGTTGAATACTCGGTAAAGTCGAACTTAAGTCAGCTATTTCCATACAATTCATTTCTGCTTTCGTACAGCTCATACTTTGCATTCTGCTCGCGATAAAACTGAGTGTGATTTGGCGTGGTGTGTTGTGTGCTGCACATCTCGGCTGGGGTTCCTCAGCTCACGGGGCCCAGCCGGAGCCAGCGGGCGACACAGTGACACTGCCTGATTAAATTACCGGCTCGTCACTTACCGAAATTGTGGGATCAGTGCGACAGCTCCACTGTGCAGTTCCACATATTGGTGGTAATAGAGGCTGCACTTCCTCTTATAACCTACGGTCTGTTTAACCCGCGCCCCAGTGGCGGTCTCAGTCAACTTCGCCCTAGTGGGGGGGGGGCATATGTTACCACCCACCTCTAACTAAAAAACTAAGAGGTCTAGAAAGACGCGGTAAAAAGCCGTCGATAGCTCTCTATGCGTACGTTTGAAAGTATTTCGGTCATTTTTCGTCTTAGAGCAATATTGGGGTCACTGGAGGTCAGCAATGGTCAAAATTTGCCAAATGTCATATTTTTCAGAAAACATGCATTTATCTCAGGAACTATGATAGCTAGAAAAACGCATGGAAAAGCAATCGATAGCCGATAGCTTTTTAACTCTTCTTTGGAGAAGGTCATTATCTAAATTGACCTCAAGTCAACGGTTTAGCCTCCAGAGGGCAAAAACTCCAAAAAATAGCTGTTCTTACGAAAAGTGTTTTCGACAATAACTTTTGACTAAAAAGCCACGATATTTCAATTGCCAGAATCGTGTTCCTCTCGCCCAGACGCGTCGAATAAACTATAATTTGAACTTGAAAGGTCAACTTTAAAATTTGACCTCAGGTCAAGTTCATGACCTGACCGGAAAAGGTCATGTTGCATATCATTCGATGCGTCTTAACAAGACAAACACAATGAGACCATCCCTAGCGTCCTATCTCTTTCCAATCGAGAGTTATTGGCAAAAATCTGTTTGTAGCCTCAAATGACCTCGGATGACCTTTCTAGAGGCTATCAGCAAAAATGACACCCTGGTCGTCACGGGTGGTCCAAATCATTGTGATTCTGAAATATTTGGACTGTTCCTATGCGTACACACGGATCTAGAGGCATTCTTTTTTCCATTGCCTTATAAAGGTAAGGTCACACCACTGGCCTGACCTTAGGTCACGGATATAAAAAATCCGAGATATGCAAATTAAAGGTGCCCATAACATCATGCAATCCACCAAGTTTGAAACCTTTCTGACAAACACTGCTGGCTGGACATGATTGCAAACTTTTTTCAGGTTTGGTCAGTTAACTTGACCTGGTGACCTGACCTGACACGACCTGGGATAAAAAATTTATAAATTTTCCAAAATTGATGTACAAAAAGCTACGCGCCGCGGTTTTTATTCACACGAAAAAAAAACGCGACAGAGTGGTAACATATGCCCCCCCCCCCCCACACACACACACACACTGGGACGAAGGTTAAATTTGCTTTATTTTTGCCAAAAGGAATATAGGAACAGAACAGCCCTCAACTCACCGCGTGGTAGATCTGATCGGCTACACCGGCTAGCTCGGACTCGGAGACTATGAAATTGGTTACTATTTTATTGGAAATCATAACACAAGACATTAGATTTCTTACCTTTCTTACCTTAGATTTATTTCCTTACATTAGATTGAGCAACAATACAAGCAAGTTTATATTGCCCCCCCCCCCTCCCTAAAAAAGCTTATACTTCTTGTTGCCATTCTTGCCTTTTAATTTATTTAATGATGGATCCAATCAAAAGAGTGGAACGTGACACACCTCTATCATATGGATTTTTATCGACTGATAACATATCCCTAGAGTTATTAGCGGAATTGTAAAAAAAGAATGCCTATCACGCAGTGAGATGGAGGCTGTACCTAGCGAGCTTAGGAACGTAATAAAAAGGACTAAAAACATCAATGCCTTTCATTTCGATGTCTATTGACCGCCTTTGGAATTATTTCTCATGGGGTCGCTTTTTTTTGCTATTACGGTATAGTTTCATTCTTTCCCTTCCCGAGCGTCGCCTGTCTCGGTGTTATGGTCTCAGTCTCTATAGGTACCACCTGGGTATTTGTGGTCGCCATTTGGGCGTTTGCTCGGCCGTTCGGGCGCATCTGCCGTCCGGCTGGGGCCCGCGAGCTGTCACCGGGGGGTCCGCGCCGCGCGCCGCTTCCGCTGACCCGCAGGAGGCCTTCGACATTCTCAACTTCTCTGCCGAGGAGAAGATGAACATCTACAAGATCACGGCCACCGTGATGCACCTGGGCGAGATGAAGTTCCGCCAGAAGGGGCGCGAGGAGCAGGCAGAGGCCGAGGGCACGGAGGTGAGTGAGCGGCCGCCGCGCCGGCCGGCGGCGCCCCCGCCGCGCGCCCGCTGACCGCGCCGCGCCGCGCCCACAGGAGGCGTTCGATATCCTCGGCTTCACGCAGCAAGAGAAGGAGAACATTTATAAGATCGTGGCCGCTGTGATGCATCTGGGTACGATGAAATTCAAACAGAGGGGCCGCGAGGAGCAGGCCGAGGCGGACGGCGCAGAAGTAAGACGCCGCGCCGACGCTGCTGCTGCCTGGCGGCTGGCCCGCGCAGTAACACGCCGCCGCCATCTTGTTTGGTTTCCTTTCAGCAATGGCGCCGCTGCTGCTGGCTGGCTGGGTGCCGGTTTTACGCCTCATCGCCTGATATTTGCACACTGCGTAATGTGCTCCGCGTGACTGCGTAATGTGCTCTGAGTGACTGCGTAATGTGCTGACTGCTCGGAGTTTGGCAATGCTGAGCTCTTACTAGCCTCAAGGAAATAAATCCGAAAAATTTGCACCAAATTCAAAACTTTTACCTATATCTGCCGTACCTAATGCTTACCTATGCCTACCAACCAATAGGTTCAACCATCGATATTAGTTTTTCGCGAATATTTATTTAAAGTCTGGACTGTACCTAGTCATCAATTTCATTTGTTGTCAACAAAAAAAAAACGTCATTTTCGGGGCCAGAGTGTTCGGCTTGACGATTATGTATGTAGGTGCTGAAAATGTGCTGAAATGCTGAAATGCTGAAATGCTGAAATGCCTATGTGCTGAAAAGAAGCGTTACTAGTTGGTTAATTTTGCTGGGTAACAATGACAACTGCACGTTGTTCCCGTTCATCCCACTGCAGTGCCGTACACAGCAGCTGTGACCTAACACTAACACCTTGGCACGTACCTATCTTCTCTCCAGTAGCGTTTTGTACTGACATGTCTGCCGCTTTTGGAGCAAAGCTTGCGGGTGTCAGCTACCAGCTACTCTGGGAGTGTCTAACTCTACTGCTCACTGAATGGTGTCCACTACCAGGGCCACCAGTCACAGACTGACTGCGTGTACCTATGTGTGTTTGGTTGGTGCCCTATGTGTCGGTGAAAAGCACTCAGATCTGCTCTGTCCTGGGACTGGGCTGAGTCGCCCCCACTGGGATCGCCCACTTCACTGTTTCTCCCCATTGAACTTCGTAGAGATCTTTTAAACATACGAAGAGAAGTTACACTGATGAGGCGAAGTTCTTGGCAGGTCGCCCGTTTCGTGATCACATGGGTAGGTATCATGTTTTCGCCAAACAGCAGCTCTTCGTATGTAAGATCTCTGCGCAGTGGGAGGCATGCCCCCCCCCCCTCCCGACCCGGGTCGAGCGGCACAGACTGTCGGCATGTCCCGGCCAGTGACGTCACACCCACTGTCCAGTGACGTCACCCTCTCTGTCCAGTGACGTCACGGCTGACTGGGAGCCGGCGTCGTGTGTCCCCGTAGTGTGTTACCCTGTTGGAAGCGTCCACCACGGGACCGGATGGACCGTAGCACCCGGCCTGCACCCACCCGGCACCGGCCGCGCACCCACCCGGCACCCCGCACCCGACCCAGCACCCCGCACCCGACCCTTGCCCAGGTGACGGCGCGCAGCTGTTGTCGCGCAGGGGGGCGGTTCTCGCAGCGAGGTCCCGGTCAGTCAGCCCAGACTAGCGCGCCCCGCGCCAACGTGTGTGACGTCACTGACCGCTGACACCGCGTGTGACGTCACCCGCAGGAGGGCGAGCGCGTGGCCAAGCTGGTCGGCGTCGACGGTCCGACGCTGTACCTGAACCTGTTGAAGCCCAAGATCAAGGTCGGCAACGAGTTTGTCACCCAGGGCCGCAACAAGGACCAGGTCAGTGACCTCTGGAATTGGACTAGTGACCTCCGACTAGAGACCAGGGACTGCAGGCACCTGAGGTCAGATATGCACCTCAGACTAGAGAGCGGGTCAGCTACCTCAGCGACCAGGCTGGCTGCGCAGGGCTCGGGACCCGTTTTGTGGACCCAGCAGTGAGACCGAGTTCAGTGTCGGGTCTTCTGCCAGCATCCCGGTCCGCAACAGCGCCGGCGCCGGCTGGAGCTGCAGTGTCGGCCAGTTCAGACATATCCAATATCCATGTAAGTTTGACTCGGCCCTGTCCTGCCCTGTCCTGTCCTGTCCTGTCCTGGCCTGGCCTGGCCAGTCCTGCCCCGTCCCTGCGCTGCGCTGCCCTGGCCTGTCCTGCCCCATTCCTGGCCTGGCCTGTCCTGGCCTGGCCAGTCCTGCCCCGTCCCTGCCCTGCCTTGTTCTGCCTTGACCTTTTCTCCGACGTGATTATGTGATTTGAACTTACCTGACCTCAGTTTCCCTGCACTGTTCTGAGTGCGCTGAACTGACGGCTGACCTGAGCTTCTGTGCACTGTTCTGACCTGACCTGACCTGACCGGCCGCTGCAGGTGTACTACTCGGTGGGCGCGCTGGCCAAGGCCATGTACGACCGCATGTTCAAGTGGCTGGTCAAGAAGGTCAACCTCACCCTGGACACCAAGCAGAAGCGGCACCGCTTCATTGGCGTCCTCGACATCGCCGGCTTCGAGATCTTCGACGTGAGTTTGCCGAGAGTGAGCCGACTTAGTCGCGAGTTAGCAGAGTTAGCCCCGAGTTCGCCGCGAGTTACCCGTAGGCTAGCCACGACGGTTGAGTAACGAGAGCTGGCCAAGTGCAGCACACTTAGTTTACTTAGCTCAGTGGCGCCGGTGCGCTCATCAGCTTTGCGTCTTGATTAGTTGACTTTACGGCAATGTTCCGCATAATCGGATATTTAAGATTTAACATGGGAGAACTCTTATTGAATTTTTTTTTCTAATTAGTCACGTTTTATTGAAATGCATGTCCATGGGATGAAAATGCGAAGCTAGTTACGTGAAGGAACGTATAAAATACGTTTGAAATGTTTCTGTGTCGATGTACAATGCATCTATATTACAGGTTCTCAACGATAACAAACGCAGTTCTCACTTGGCAGCCCTCAATAAGGCAGCAATAACACAAGTCACTGCACCAGTCCAGCACAGCCAATCGCTGCGCGTCCACGGCCATTATGACGTCACAGCTACTTTGAGCACAGCTCACGACGTCACGTCAGGGCGCCGCTGAACACCTGAGGACACAAAGCAGTCCATACACCGAACATACGACACACGTCACGTCAGGCGCCGCTGAACACCTGAGGACACAAAGCAGCCCATACACCGAACATACGATGATACGACACACGTCACGTCATCCCCACCGACTACGACAAATCAAAACTTATATTGACCGTGGCAATCAATTTACCCTAGATGTATGTTTGGCTACCTTTATCTCGTTTATGAGCCTTGCAATCATCATGATGAAAACATAAATATCAAATAGGTACTTGACGTGCTTCAATGATGAATAATATAATATTCCGTTCCCAGAAACTTGGGTTTGGTAGAAGAAGGTATGCGATTCTGCCCACTCACATGGTCATTTGATCTAAAAATAACGTGAACCATTTTTTTCTTTAATCACAAAAACGGTTTACAGGCAGTCCTTTAACAAACCTTTCCAAACAGACGCTTCAGTCCCAGTGACGTTTGACCTCTATTATCAGTTCAACGGCTTCGAACAGCTGTGCATCAACTTCACCAACGAGAAGCTGCAGCAGTTCTTCAACCACCACATGTTCGTGCTGGAGCAGGAGGAGTACAAGCGGGAGGGCATCGATTGGGTCTTCATGGACTTCGGCATGGACCTGCAGGCGTGCATTGAGCTGATGGAGAAGGTACTCCCGGACATGTCCCATAGCGACCAGAGTGTGGCGCGCGCGCGCGCTGCAGGCCTCCCCGGGCTGCGCTCTGAGCGAACAAGCCCAGTCCGGGCATCTCCGGATTTCCGCCAGTGGCCCCGGTGTTTCCCCAACTTCCCGTGTCACCCCGGATTGGAGTGCTCCCTGCCGAAAATACCCCACCCCACCGAGTTTGCCCTGCACGTGGCTTCAAGCCGATGTTTTGAGACTCCTGTGTACAGGCCTGCGGTGAACTATCGGCTACAGACAGTGTCTCGCCGGCCTATCCACTGGCGTCCTTCCAAGCATGTCTGAGCGCGACAGAACCCCGGGCCTGTGCCTCCCCGGCCTTCCCCGCGTGCTCCCGGCTTCCCCGTGCGCCTCTTTGTCTCCCTGCATTATCGGTGTGCCTCCCCTGTGTGCCTCCCAGCTCTCCCTGCTGCGTATTTCGCTCAGACCATTTAGTCTGCTTAGTCGGGTAGTTTGCACCGACTCTGTACCAGTGTCTCCCTTAGGCGACAGTCGCTGTGGCAGGCGTGGAGGGTGCAGTCAGTTTCTGATGGCGGTGGCCGCTGTTTGATATCACTGAAGATAAATGGGACTTCTGGAATGAAGCTTCACAACATGTAGGCACAAGAAGGACAAGCTGAGATTTACGTGGTCCGCACGTGGAAGAGCATTTCAAGCAATGAAATCGTTTCTGAAGCGCCAATGTCTAAAGTTTGCCTGTAAAAAGGCTAACATTCGTTGAAAGGACCTATTGTCTGAAGGCATAAGTGTCTCCTTGCACTGTGGATTCACATGGCCCTGGATATAGCTGATGAGATGGACATTCACCACGAGACTGAAGCAGGGGGCTCTGGCAAGAAATTTCAGTAAAAGACTGCAGAAGACTGCGTGAAAGACTGTCGAATGTTATACACAGGAGTCTGCGCTCGGAGGATTTTACTGAAGACCTCACGGAAAGCTCTGCGGAGGGCGATTTTCACTCTATAGCTCAACTCTTCTGCAGCTTCCAGTGCACTGTCGCTGGCCTCAGACACAGTGCCCACAGCCACACATGCAGCCTCTGTCAAGGACTTTCAGGTGTTCACTCATCCCGAGGCCCTCACCTGGAGCACACCTGGTGCCAGCTCTTCGTGTCCTTGTCGCTGCGGCCAGTCCTCCGCGCCGTCACCCATCCCACATCTCTTCGTTTCCAGTTCAACGGCTTCGAACAGCTGTGCATCAACTTCACCAACGAGAAGCTGCAGCAGTTCTTCAACCACCACATGTTCGTGCTGGAGCAGGAGGAGTACAAGCGGGAGGGCATCAACTGGGTCTTCATGGACTTCGGCATGGACCTGCAGGCGTGCATCGACCTCATGGAGAAGGTGATGCACGTACCGGCCTCCGGTGCCGACTTCTCTCTAGGAGAAGACGATGGTCTCCTGGCAGCATGGCGGACGATGTAGGCGTCGCTTTCGCGGCTCATAAAACACTACCAGCTAGCCGGGTACACGGTGGCCGGACTGTCGGTTGGCTGGGGTAGTGCCGTAGCAGTGCAGTGTCGTCCTAGTGCACTGGGTCAAAGGCCGCTTCTAGAGCATGACTACAGATAGCGTACGTAACAACTGGTCGCTGCATGATAAATAAACTGAAGTAGCTAGTGATGGTGACGTAACTTGTATGCTACTCTATTTCTTTAAATAATAGACAGATGACAGAAGTAATTGGCCTAACTCTTTAAGTTAACCAGGATAGCGTATGTCTCATTGAGTGCATCTCGTAGATTCAACGCAAATCGGCTGAGGTCTGGACCCAGGTACAGGTAAATAATTCCGCTGCATGCGCTGTCTCACGTCGCGGATGCTTTGGACTCTGCTGTGCTGTATAACCGCTGCTGCATGCATCCCTACGTGTCTGTTGGCCCTAAGGCGAATGCTGATGACCATATCGATGAGATTGTTGGTCGATGATGCTCCGAGTAGATGTAGTGGTTTAGGTTTTCTGATATATATGTAAGATACCGTAATATCTTTGTTCATTTTTACAACTGATTGAATGTAAGAACAAGTTGCAGGTGCCTATAACCATTTTAGTCGGCAGCTGCCACAGTCTCGATATAGCTCTGGTTTGTGAGTCGGCTGACTGGCCGAGGCAGCGCGTCTCCTGACGCAAACAGTCTCACTGTTCCCCATATTCCAATCCCATTGATCATGTACAGCTCTGCTCGCGTTCGACATCCCTCCAACCTGTACATCTATGTATATCTATTCTGAAACCCTCTCCCACCATCCCCTGTGAACATCCCGCTCCGTACCACCACTGCTGACCGCCGTCCCGCCACTGCTGCGTACCGTCACTGCTGACCGCCGTCCCTCCACTGCTGACCGCCGTCCCGCCACTGCTGACCGCCGTCCCGTCACTGCTGACCGCCGTCCCGCCACTGCTGACCGCCGTCCCGCCACTGCTGACCGCCTTCCCGCCACTGCTGACCGCCTTCCCGCCACTGCTGAGCGCCTTCCCTCCACTGCTGACCGCCGTCCCGCCACTGCTGACCGCCTTCCCTCCACTGCTGACCGCCGTCCGCGTGCGCCGCAGCCGATGGGCGTCCTCTCCATCCTGGAGGAGGAGAGCATGTTCCCCAAGGCCACCGACAAGACGTTCGAGGAGAAGCTGAAGAACAACCACCTGGGCAAGTCGTCCTGCTTCATCAAGCCCAAGCCGCCCAAGCAGGGCCAGGCCGAGGCGCACTTCGCCATCGTGCACTACGCCGGAACGGTGAGCGTGTAGGGGACCTGGCTCTGACAGTGGAGGGTTTGGGTTTGGGAGGGGCTGGGGACCTCTGAAGGAGAGGGTTTGAGGACCTCTGATAGTGGAGGGTTGGGGACTTCTGACGGTTTGGGTTTGGGGACCTCTGGGGACATGGTGAGAGACGAGTGCGGGGATCACTGGCGGTACTGATAGTTTGAGGGCCTTTGACTGCATGAGGAGAGACAAGTGACTATGCCTAGTTTAGGTGTGTGAGTTTTTGAACAGCGAGCTTTGCGGCCAATCCTCAAAACATTTTGTAACATTTTGCATTTGAGAGAAGAATTTACTTCAGAATAACTGAAATAAACGGTCTCTGCATCCTACTCTTGCTGAAATGAATGAAAACAAACGGCCTCAGCGCCCTCCGACCGACAGTGCTCGAGCTGGAGTCCAACGAATTCCGCTCCCTCTAGCCGACAATTGGTGGCGTGGACCTGGTCAGGCCAGGCACAAATAGATGAACCACATTCCTCTCGAGTCACCCGCTCTCAGGACCCTGATTGGCTGGCCCTCACTACGCCACCCTCTGTCAAGGTCCTGATTCGCTGGCCCCTCACTACGTTATCCACTCCCAGGACCCTGATTGGCTGGCCCTCACTGCGTCATCCGCCCCCAGGTGGCGTACAACCTGATTGGCTGGCTGGAGAAGAACAAGGACCCGCTCAACGACACGGTCGTCGACCAGTTCAAGAAGGGCTCCAACATGCTGGCGCAGGAGATTTTCGCCGACCACCCGGGACAGTCGGGCGGCCAGGACGCCGGTGGAAAGGGTGAGCTGATGCCAGACGAATCGGTGAGGGTGTCGCAAAAAGGGTGAGGACACATCACCATTCACCGGTCCAGCTTGTGAATAACAATTACAAGCTATTTGAAACTTCACGCAAACGACCAATCATTTTCTGATATCAGCCCTATCGCTTGACTCGAGTGTGGCACTCTTTTTCCTAGCGTAATGTGATGGCAGGATTTAATGTCACACTAAGCATGTATACCAAATATACCATAAATGGGTCGAATAAAAGTTGTGCTCTGAAAATGGACTAGGACTTCGGAACCAAGTTATAAAGTTACGTGTCCCAGCTTTTGGATTTAGATCTGCCTAGCTTAGATAGGAACGGGCGTAACACACTGTCACGAAGATTTCCTCGTCGAATGCTGTCTATATGAGCGCTAACATCGCAAGGCGTTGAAAATTGTTCTGTTGAATCGACTTGCTCGCTTTCTTGGTCACTTCTCACTTTGGTAATTTATTGCATTGCAACTGGAGTCAATTCGCCACTGTTGCCGCAGTGGCTGGGTTTGTTTGCCACTGTTGCCGCAGTGGCTGGGTTTGTTTGCCACTGTTGCCGCAGTGGCTGGGTTTGTTTGCCACTGTTGCCGCAGTGGCTGGGTTTGTTTGCCACTGTTGCCGCAGTGGCTGGGTTTGTTTGCCACTGTTGCCGCAGTGGCTGGGTTTGTTTGCCACTGTTGCCGCAGTGGCTGGGTTTGTTTGCCACTGTTGACGCAGTGGCTGGGTTTGTTTGCCGCTGGTTGCCGCAGTGGCCGGGTTTGTTTGCCGCCAGCTGCCGCAGTGGCTGGGTTTGTTTGCCACTGTTGCCGCAGTGGCTGGGTTTGTTTGCCGCCGGCTGCCGCAGTGGCTGGGTGCGCGCTCTCTGCTCTGAGACACTGACGACCACCTATTGCAGGCGCCAAGCGTCAGAAGGGCTCAGCATTCCAGACCGTCTCGGCCATGTATCGGGTAAATAGAGCGAGCAGGGCCGCGGCTCTGTACCGCGACGGCCGGCCGCCGCCGCCACTCTGGCTCAGTGAGAACCCGCAGCGTGGTCCACTGAGAGTCCTCGCTGCTGACTGAGGCGACATGCAGCGGTCGCACCAGCCCGCCGTTATCCGGCAGGGACCGTGTCCCGGCGCGGCTGGTGTGACCGCGAGGCTCGGTCTGACCTCAGGCCTCAGAGTGGCGGCACCGCCGGCCGCCGCCGCCGCCACACCGGTGACGTCACTGGTGGCGGCTCGCTGGACGGCTCTGACCGGACGGTGTGGCCGGCCTGTCCAGACCGCCACCAGTGACGTCACCGCTGTGTACCGCCGCCGCCGTGTCTGACCGCCGCGCGCGCCGGCCCTCTGTTCTAGGCCGTAAGAAGGGTGGCGGGTTCGCCACCGTGTCCTCCGCCTACAGGGTATGGTGTCCTCCGCCTGCAGAGTATGGTGTCCTCCGCCTGCAGCCCGGCCGCATGTCCGTCTGTCTGTCTGTCTGTCTGTCTGTCTGGGACTGGTCACTGTACCCGCAGTGTACCCCTGTACCCCCGTACACAGCGGTCCGGACTGTATCACTTTGTACACTTTGTACTCTGGAGGTCAGCAGCATGTTTGTCTCTGCATCATCCGGGCCGCGAGGCGGACCCCAGTTGGATGGGGGGGGGTCCGTCTCTGGGGTGCTGCATCCGGGCCCTGAGACGGGTCCGTTAGGGGGGGGGACCTTTGGGGCACAGGGGCACTGTTTCCGCAGTGACCAAACCAAGTTTGGCACAGTCTTTTTTGTCTGCTGGAGCTGGTAACTTTGGGTAGGCAAATCTTGGAATGAAAATCACTACTATTTCCTACAGTTTCAGCAAGCAGCTGATAATCTCTCAAATTTTACTCTAACAAAAGCACTTATTTAGATATTGTTGCATTTAATCAAAATTACTAAGTGGTTTCTGTTATTTTATGTTATGCTCTATTCTACTCCATTTATACATTGTGAAATCAGAATGCCTCGTAGGTCCTCTAACTATATTTGGGGAAATTATGGACATGCGCCAACAAGAGTAGTGCACTAAATAAAACACGAATGATGTACAGATTCTATCACTGTGAATGAACTTTGTACTATCTACTCTGTAGTTAATTTAGTTTTGAGACGCCACTGAATCCTACAAAATTCAGTTCTGACAGCCTGCATCGTGTTTTATTTTCCTTTGATTAATCAGTACCAACGATACCTATAAGATTTGCATTTTCGAACGCATGTTTATTTCGAGGATAATTTATGTTTATATTACGATGATTGCCGTGTACCCATGTTCCTATTGAATGTTGTAACATGTTTCTTTTTAAGACGTCAAATAGGGATAGGTAACAGAAATGGTTCGTGTCATCGAGTTCGTGTCGTACTGCGTAAAACGGCCATCCATATGGCGGCTTACGTTAGCTCCCCGTACCGGTATCACACTTTTGATTGACTTCGAAAAGGTGCACGACCTCGATAAATTTGCAGGTCTCTAGTTAGCTTGTACTTATACCTTTTCCTGGATAATTTGCAGCAACGTAATATTATGTATTTACCATAGATGGTAAATGAATAGATCTATTCACTTGGCCTGAACAAATGTCCCCTCATTCTGAACAAATGCCCTCCCAGTGCCGGCTGTGCCGTGGGTAAAGTGAGTGCACCGTGCGTCTGACAATCACCAGGTGATGTCACGGGTAGCACCGCCTGGGTGACGTCACAGTCCCGCCCCGCCGTCTGTGCCAGCACTGGCCGGTGTTGTCCATCATGTCACGTGACCCGGGTGTAGTGACTGGTCTGGAGATTGTTATCGGTGGCCGGTGTTGTCCATCGTGTCACGTGACCCGGGTGTAGTGACTGGTCTGGAGATTGTTATCGGTGGCCGGTGTTGTTCCATCGTGTCACGTGACCCAGGTGTAGTGACTGGTTTGGAGATTGTTTTTGGTGGCCGGTGTTGTCCATCATGTCACGTGACCCGGGTGTAGTGACTGGTTTTGAGGGTGTTATCGCTGGTCTGCGACTTTTTCAGGCGTCTTGTGTCCTGTCTGTCTTTGATGTGACTTTATCAGGTGTACCTATAGCGACGGACAGGTCAAGGGCTCATCCCTGACACCCCTGACCCCATGACACCCCATGACACTCCATGACACCCCTGACACCCCTGACACCTCTGACACCCACTGACACCCACTGACACCCGCTGACACCTACTGACACCCGCTGACACCCGCTGACACCTACTGACACCCGCTGACACCCGCTGACACCTGCTGACACCCGCTCTTTGGCAGCGGCTGCCGTTCGGTCTGTCCGGCGAGGTATAGCGGCGGTTAGCGGCCTCTCCCTGCGCAGGTAGCTGGCCCCTGGTCTGATACCCCTGGCGACGTCACCGGGCACCTGCAGCTGCATGGAGCCGGCGCCCGGCGCGCGGTGGACATGTAGCCGCCCTGTCACCCCCTGTGGCACCGTCCCGTCACCCCCTGTTAGAGCCACCACCGAGGAATGCAGCGCCGCCAGCAGCCGAATGACGCGCACGCCGCACACCCTAGATGGATGGTGTCCCCTACTCCCTAAAGGAATGGTGTTACCCTTACCTACGTAGGAACAGTGTTACCCTGCAACAGGAATGGTGTTACCCCACAGTTAAATGGTGCTGCTACCCTAGATGAATGGTGTTTTTCGTATCTGAATGATGATTCCTTCGATACGAATGTCGAGAAGACCCTTAGAAGAGTGGTGTTAACCCTTCCGAATGCCGCACCCTCTAGAAGAATGGTGTCACCTCCTGCACAAATTTCGTATGGTGTTCCCTTATTTATAGGATCTATATGTTACCTCGCAGCCGGAATGGCGTTACCCCGGTAGAGTGGTGCTACCCTAGTCCCTGGTACATGTTATCCTGGTAGAATGGTGTCGCCTGGGTAAATGTGTCACCCTGTGGAATAGTGCGGCCTCCGTATGGGCTTCCATGCCGGCCGAGCGAGACAGCTGGCGCTCCCTCCCTCCCTCCCTTCCTCTGAGGAACGTACCCCGCCGTGACCTCCGGTGACCTCTCCCACCGCTGTATCGCCGTGACCTCCTCCCTCCCCCCTCCGTCCGTCCGTCCCTCCGTCCGTCCGTCCGTCCCTCCGCCCGTCCGACCGTCCGTCCGTCCGTCCGTCCGTCCGTCCGTCCGTCCGTCCGCCCGTCCGTCCGTCCGTCCGTCCGTCCGTCCGTCCGTCCGGAGCAGCGGCAACCCACCATAATCCCACAGGCGGATAACATCGCCAGTGGGAGGCGGGCTATCCAACGGCCCGCCAGTGGGAGGCGGGTTATCCAACGGCCCGCCAGTGGGAGGCGGGTTATCCAACGGCCCGCCAGTGGGAGGCGGGTTATCCAACGGCCCGCCAGTGGGAGGCGGGTGCAACCCACATCACATTAAAGACCGAAAGAGATCCTTCCTCAAACCCCAGATACCATTTACTGTTCAGAGAAGATATTCTTTGCACCCTGGCGGCTGTTTTGGATCCAGAAGGGGCTTCGACGGGTCCCTGTAGCCTCCGAGTGGGTCCTTCGTGCCTAGGTGGCCCCGCAGTGGCCTGCAGCAGTCCTCCGGACGACCTGAGGCCGCGACCCGTGACCCACCGACGTCCGCGATATCGCGTCATCGGCGTCCCTTCGAGCCTTTGTGTCAGGTGTTCCAGCCCGGTGTTCCATCGGCACGTGCAGCGCCTCAGGGACTGAGGAGACCCCGCGCGGCTCCGCGCGTATCTGCGACCTCCGGTGACCGCTATTCTCACCCTTGTGACCCCTAGTGTGACCCCCTGTGACCCCGTAGTGACCCTGCATCTCTGCAGTCTCGGCCCGGCCGGATAGCAGCATTCGTTACACTGCTCGCCGAGTTTATTACTGAATGCGAGCTGGTTACCCCTCATGTCTGCTCGACCCCACTTATCCCAGAAGTGACCCTAGTGCGGCACCTGGTGTTCCGTTGAAAGCTGCACGCGTCGATAGAGTCCACGGGGTCAGTATAAACAGCCTTGTGTAGCTGGGGACAGTATTGACCTGGTGTCAGATGGCAACATTGGCCATGAACGTAACCTGGTTTCGTGTCATAACTTGTAAAGAATATTTAAAAACGGTGGATGACAGAATGTGTTAGCACCTCGATCAGTTTGCCGGGGTCTCTGTGCTGACTGATGGGGCGCCGCTCTCGAGGCCCTGCGTTGGCACGGCGCGCCGGCCGCCCTGGTTAGAGGCGCACCAGCAGGCCTGGGGAGAGGCGGCACTGCGCTGTGGGCAGCGGCACCACTGCGGTGATATTCCGCCGGTTCTGCCCCACTGACGTCACTGGCCATTTCCCTAGGAGCAACTCAACAATCTGATGACGACACTGCGCTCCACGCAGCCGCACTTCATCCGCTGCATTATCCCCAATGAGCTGAAGGCGCCCGGTAAGGCGGGAACCACAGAGTCCGCACGGAACCGCAGCGCACCGCGGAACCAGGAGCCCGCACGGAACCTGCACGAGGAGCCATGCCCTCCCCTTCGTGAAACCCTGGACTGCACATGGCGTCTAGAACCCGTCCGTAGACATAGACCATAGACACTACCTGGTGACCCATAGACACCTAGTGTCTGACCCATAGACACCTAGTGTCTGACCCATAGACACCCACTGTCGGACCCATAGACACCCACTGTCGGACCCATAGACACCCACTGTCGGACCCATAGACACCCACTGTCGGACCCATAGACACCCACTGTCGGACCCATAGACACCCACTGTCGGACCCATAGACACCCACTGTCGGACCCATAGACACCCACTGTCAGACCCATAGACACCCACTGTCAGACCCATAGACACCCACTGTCGGACCCATAGACACCCACTGTCGGACCCATAGACACCCACTGTCGGACCCATAGACACCCACTGTCGGACCCATAGACACCCACTGTCGGACCCATAGACACCCACTGTCGGACCCATAGACACCCACTGTCGGACCCATAGACACCCACTGTCGGACCCATAGACACGCACTGTCGGACCCATAGACACCCACTGTCGGACCCATAGACACCCACTGTCTGACCCATAGACACCCACTGTCAGACCCATAGACACCCACTGTCGGACCCATAGACACCCACTGTCGGACCCATAGACACCCACTGTCGGACCCATAGACACCCACTGTCGGACCCATAGACACCCACTGTGGGACCCATAGACACCCACTGTGGGACCCATAGACACCCACTGTCGGACCCATAGACACCCACTGTCGGACCCATAGACACCCACTGTCGGACCCATAGACACCCACTGTCGGACCCATAGACACCCACTGTGGGACCCATAGACACCCACTGTCAGACCCATAGACACCCACTGTGGGACCCATAGACACCCACTGTCGGACCCATAGACACCCACTGTCGGACCCATAGACACCCACTGTCGGACCCATAGACACCCACTGTGGGACCCATAGACACCCACTGTCGGACCCATAGACACCCACTGTCGGACCCATAGACACCCACTGTCGGACCCATAGACACCCACTGTCGGACCCATAGACACCCACTGTCGGACCCATAGACACCCACTGTCGGACCCATAGACACCCACTGTCGGACCCATAGACACCCACTGTGGGACCCATAGACACCCACTGTCGGACCCATAGACACCCACTGTCGGACCCATAGACACCCACTGTCGGACCCATAGACACCCACCTGTGTTAACTCCGGGATGGTACCGGGACATCACTAGTTCACTAGTGCGCAGATGACCTCTCGGTGGCCCTCTACTGACCTCTGACCTCTGAGTGACCCTGAGACGCTGACGCGGCTGACGACCCCGGTGTGCGCCCTGATATTTCCCTCTGTTATACAATGTGTGTGCTGTGCCCCAGTCGGATAGATGAGCTCCCCTAGCTAGGCTGTGAGTGTGACGCCAGTAGTCCCCAGTCCACCCGCTGTGCCTCCCCCTGTGACCTGGCATGTGACCTCATATGTGACCCGCCCACCAGCGCGGCCACTCGCTGCCCAGACAGTGTGTGTGCCTGCCGTCCCTCCCCTGTGCACGCCCCCCCCCCTCGCCGTCCGTGCTGTGCCGTCCTCGTCGCCGCTGCCCCCCCCCCCCTCATGACGTCACACTCACACTGTGTGACGTCACGGCGGACAGGAGCAGCTCAACAACCTGATGGTGACGCTGCGGGCCACGCAGCCGCACTTCATCCGCTGCATCATTCCCAACGAGACCAAATCGCCCGGTGAGTCAGCACTTACACACACCGATCACAGGGCGCCGGGCACAGGGCGCCACTCACAGGGCGCCGCTCACAGGGAGCCGGTCAGAGGGAGCCGGTCACAGGACGCCGGGCACAGGGCGCCGCTCACAGCTCACAGGGCGCCGGTGACAGGGCGCCGGTGACAGGGCGCCGGGCACAGGGCGCCAATCACAGGGCACGGGGGTGGACAGAGGTGGACACAGGTCAGTCGGTCACCGGAACACAGTGCAGAGGAACACACACGGTCCCGGAACACTGGGCTCCGGAACACACAGGGTACCGGAACACAGCGCATAGGAGCCTAAATAGCACCGGAACGCAGCGCACCGATGGTGGCACACAGGCACTGGCGGATCCAGGCTTGCGTTTTTTGGGGGGGGGCCAACTCATGCAGGAGCCAAACCTAGGGTACCCCCAAATCCTGTTTTCTCATCGGATTTAGTCCACTTATTTTTCGTCACAGCCCTGGCACTATGAATTTTTTTTTAACTAAAAAGAAAAATATATAAATGGTAGCCCACCCGACCCATGCCTTTATATTAAAACACTTACCATTGTTTTTATCGACCAGTTAAAGGGACCCTCCCACCTTAACATTAGATTTGAGCTGAGATAGCCAAAATGGGGTCCCTGGCTCACAATTACCGGTTTCGGCACGCACTCACAACATCGAGAAATGCCTTAAATCGGAAATATTGAATTTCAAAATTGCAGCATTTTGATTCAGAGGGGCTAATGCTTTTGGATGCCCCTCTGAATGTGTGACGTCAGCGGAGATCTAATGATTTTTTTAATATTTTACTAAAACGTTTGGTAGCATGCGGTGGTATAGGCTGCTTTGCGCGCAACAAATGCCGCACTTTCAAATAAAGTCGCTAGGAACAGCAGCGGATATCCCAAAAAGTAAACAAAAATAAAAGTATAATCTCTTGAAAACCGGTGAATATTTTTCGATAAAATTTGGTAGATATTCGTTTTCGCCCTTTCTGAACCTAGCGACATCGTTTTCATGCCAATTCATTAACTTTTTTGAAGGTGGGAGGGTCTCTTTGACCCGCTTCGAGTCAGTGCTTGGGTCCCTTTGCGGGCCGGGAGGTGGTAAAACAGCCTTGTCTAACTCGGCTCCTGGGCCACGCCCTGATTGAACTATGTTTCATTATCGTTTGGGGGAGGGGGAAAACGGGCCACTTTAGGCCTCTGGGAAGGGGGCATGGCCCTAAATGCCCCCTCCCTGGATCCGCCAGTGTAAGAAGAGACCATTGGAGCTGCAGTTAGGTACCTCAGACATCAGGGTACGCCCTCAGATGTATGTATAGGACTCGCATGGAGACCTCTTATGCTATAGTGTACTGAAAGGACCCAAAGGAGCCTGTCTATATGGGTTCCCGGAGATAGACGTGGGCCCTCAGGAGCCCGCCAGAGCCCCAATGAGGGATAAGTGAGGGATACCAAGTGCCTGCAATTGCATATTGCATAAGCCATAACGCCTTTACAAATCAATATATTATGCATCAGTGGCAGATCCAAGGGGGGCCACGGGTCATGACCCCCTTGGTGCCCGGGGGCACCACAGGCCTGTCGGGGGCACCACCGGCCTAGTAGGGGCACCACCAGCCCGCCAGGGGCACCACAGGCCTAGCAAGGGCACCACGGGCCTGTAAGGGGCCCCACAGGCTTGTCAGGGGCACCCCAGGTCTGTCAGGGACACCAGAGACCTGCCAGGGGCGCCGCCGGCCTCGCAGGGGCACCATGGGCCTGTCAGGGACACCAGAGGCCTAGCAGGGGTACCACAGGCCTTACAGGGGCACCACCGGCATTGCAGGGGCACCTTGGGCCTGTCAGGGGCACCACAGTCCTGTCAGGGCCCAGGGGCACCAGCGGCCTAGCAGGGGCACCACAGGCCTGCCAGGGGCACCACCGGTCTAGCAGGGGCACCATGGGCCTGTCAGGGGCCCCACCGGCCTCGCAGGGGGCACCACCGGCCTCGCAGGCATCACGGCATCACGCAGGGGCACCTTGGGCCTGTCGGGGGCATCACGGGCCTGTTGGGGGCACTTTAGGCTTGTCAGGGGCACCACAGTCCTGTCAGGTCCCAGGGGCATCAGCAGCCTAGCAGGGGCACCCTAGGCCCGCCAGAGGTACAGCCCACCGCTAAAGTAATGTAGGGTTTTACCAAACTCAACGGTTGGCTTTGACTGGCGATTGTTTAATGCGAAGTGATTGAAAAGAAGATGTCAATAGCTAAAGTTGCAGCTGCAAGGGTGACGATACATATAAGCTACATTCAAAGTTTCATTGTAGTCTGGCTAATCGTTCCTAAGCTTCAGAAGCAGAACATACCCATGACTGAAACCCCACATTACTTCTGCTGTGGACTGTACCACAGGCCTGCCAGGGTCCAGGGGCACCACAGGCCTAGCAAGGGCACCACGGGCCTGTCAGGGGCACCTCAGGCTCCCGTGCCCCCCCCCCCCCTCCCCCCAGATCCGCCAGTGATGCCACACCACGCGAAACACCGCCAACTACCAGCTGCCGCGCCATAAACACGTGCCAACAACAGTCTTTTTTTTAAGGTCGACTCCGCTCGCGCAACTTTTGACTGACCCTCACTGCTACTATATTGCTTCCATATTATGCTGTGGAAAGCTTTACTTCACCAAGTGGCTAAAAACCTCCATCAAGGTATATTTTCTTAGCAATTTTTCTGGCGTTTTTTTTTTGGGGGGGGGGGGCAAACAGGCCACTTTAGGCCTTTGGGGGGGCATGGCCCCCGTGGCCCCCCCCCCTGGATCCGCCAGTGCACACAGGCTACGAAATTCAACCATGAGAGGGTAAACAAATAGCAGGGGAGGTAAATTGAGGTCATGGAGCTGAACACGGAGACAGGCATAGGCGAGCGAACACGAACAGAGGTCACAAGAGCTGAGCAGAAAGGTCAGGGGTGACTCAGGCGTGGGATCTAAATCCGCACAGACAGTCCAGAGGAACTGCTGAAGAAACTAGACGACCGGCTCTACCGGACCCTCAGTGGCCAGTGAGGGGGCCGGCGCCTCAGTGACCAGTGAGGGGGCCGGACCCTCACTGGTCAGTGAGGGGGCCGGATCCTCACTGGTCACTGTGGGGGACGGCCCCTCACTGGTCAGTGTGGGGGAAGGGAACGGACCCTCACCGGTCAGTGTGGGGCCGCCCATCACCGGTCAGTGGGGGAAGGGAACGGACCCTCACCGGTCAGTGTGGGGCCGGCCCATCACCGGTCAGTGGTGTGACGCGCGGCCGTGAGCAACAGCCGGTCTGTGTGGGCCGGCCGGCCGCCGTTTGCAGGCGGACCCCATCTCCCCCCGCCTGCCCGCCCCTGCATGTCGACACCTGCCTGTGCCTGTCGTCCCCCCCCCACTCCCCAGTCACCCTGTGGTCGCCCCATCTCTTAGATCAGTGTCTCGTTTCGTTCTAAGGGACGCTGCGTCGTTGGAAAATGTTTGCTAGGCTGACACGCCTCAGGAGATTAACGTTCCACTTCATTGTGTTTTAAAGTCATTGGGTTTATATGTTATTCAGCAATTTAATTCAAAGTTAACGATTGCATTTGGCACGACGAATCATATTATCTGGTGTGTCAAAGTGAAAGCCTTGGGCGAGCCGAAAACTCACTGATTAAACCGTTGCTTGACTGAAGTCCGACTGCAACTCCAGCTCCAACTCCAAATACAACTGCAAATCCAACTTTTACTCCAACTCCAACTACATTCCCAACTCCAACTCACCTGGTGCTGGCAGGCTCACTGACCATTCAGCTGGCCGGACCATGCACGAACAGTTCTCCAGCACTGATCCTGAGCCCTTCTGCAGGATCCTGACCGCCAGCTCCTGACCTCACAGATCCACCGACCCGCTGAACCGACTCCGCTGACCTCTGACCTCCGCTGACCTGTGACCGCCGCTGACCTCTGACCGCCGCTGACCTCTGACCGCCGCTGACCTCTGACCTCCGCTGACCTCTGGCCGCCGCTGACCGGCCGCAGGTGTGATCGACTCCCACCTGGTGATGCACCAGCTCACCTGTAACGGTGTGCTCGAGGGCATCCGTATCTGCCGCAAGGGCTTCCCCAACCGCATGGTCTACGCCGACTTCAAGCACCGGTAAGCAGGCGGGACAGGGACTGCCCTCTGCGGCTGACACCGGGGGCGGGGACTCCCCTCTGCGGCTGATACCGGGGGCGGGGACTCCCCTCTGCAGCTGACACCGGGGGCGGGGACTCCCCTCTGAGGCTGATACCGGGGGCGGGGACTCCCCTCTGCGGCTGACACCGGGGGCGGGGACTCCCCTCTGCGGCTGACACCGGGGGCGGGGGACTCCCCTCTGCGGCTGACACCGGGGGCGGGGACTCCCCTCTGCGGCTGATACCGGGGACGGGGGACTCCCCTCTGCGGCTGACACCGGGGGCGGGGACTCCCCTCTGCGGCTGATACCGGGGGCGGGGACTCCCCTCTGCGGCTGACACCGGGGGCGGGGACTGCCATCTGCGGCTGATACCGGGGGCGGGGGAGTCCCCTCTGCGGCTGATACCGGGGGCGGGGGACTCCCCTCTGCGGCTGATACCGGGGGGCGGGGACTCCCCTCTGCGGCTGATACCGGGGGCGGGGACTCCCCTCTGCGGCTGATACCGGGGGCGGGGGACTCCCCTCTGCGGCTGATACCGGGGGGCGGGGGACTCCCCTCTGCGGCTGACACCGGGGGCGGGGACTCCCCTCTGCGGCTGACGCCGGCCGCTCTGCCGGGACAGACAGCGGGCTCTGCTCACAGGGAGGGACCTCACCCATCGCGGGTCCTCACCCATCGCGGGTCCTCACCCATCGCGGGTACCTTCACCGGGACAGCAACACTGCTCTGATTATAACGGCCTCCAACAGGGATCTGTGCTCAAATTGGATAGTCAAGAAACGCATGTGTTTTTAATGCCTATACAGGAAGACTTAAGACTTTTGTTAGGGTTCCGTGCCTATTTGGGCGAATGCCTAAAACAGCGACGTTTTGGCAAAGGGAAAGCGCTATGTTAATGGGGACTCGTGTGTTTATCGATTCTTCCTTATTCTTAGTGCCACTTTTAAGAGAGGGGATCATTGCAGTTGTATAAAAGGACGGCGCGGGAGCGCCACCCTTCACTCTCCTCCCGTGCCGGTCTCCACTGTGTAGGCCACGGCCCCTTGGCTGTGTGGCTCCAGTCCCTGGGCAGCGCGGGGTGGGCCATGACTATGTGGGAACGGCGCTGTGGGACTTTGTATAGTATTGACTAGTTACGCATATGTAAGCTCGCGTTAACTGTGTGGAGCTCTCGTATAAGTGCCGTCGCGGTCTCGGCCCTTTGACTCTGCGCACTGATGCTCCGCGACCAGTGCGCGCCCGGGTCATGCTGTCGTGTTGTGTTGTCTGAGTTCCGCTCGCTCACGCTGACTGTTGTGGCGCCGTGTCACTGAAGTTACATAGTGCTGGCTCCCGCCATCATGAAAAAACACGACGACGACAAGGACGCCACCAGGGCCTGCCTAGAGACTATCGAAATGGACCCGGAGAAGTTCCGGCTGGGCCACACCAAGGTAGCCTCTGCCCGAGACCCTGGCTTCACCGCTGACCGCTGCCGCTTCACCGCGCCGCCACCCAGCACGGCCCCTGGCCTCTGACCTCTGACCTCTGACCTCTGACCTCTGACCCCTGACGACTGACTTCTGATCTGTCTTAGAACCTCTGAGCGGTCACCTCTGACCTTGGCCTCTGACATTTGACCTCTGATCTCTGTATCTGACCCCTGACCTCTGACCTCTGATCAGTGAACAGCTATCTGACAGCCCGCACTGGCGGATCCGACGGCCAGTCAGCAGCCTCTGTCTTCCACACGAGCTCGGCAGCGTACAGCAGACAGCAGTGTGTCCACTCCACATCGGCTGCGGTGACCTTTTGTCGAACCACCCTGCACGTGCTGGGTGGAATGATGAATCCAGCTTTCACGACCCGCCCATGACCCGCCCATGACTCCCACCCATTACCCGCCCGTGACCCCCGCCCCGCCCATTACCCACCCGTGGATCGTCTGTGACCTTCTGGTGACCCTGCGGTGACCGTGTGCCCCAAGCTACACAATCCTGGCGCCCAAGCAGATGAAGGCCCTGTCGGACGACAAGGATGCCACCGAAAAGTGTCTGGAGGTCATCGAACTCGAGCACGAAAAGTACCGCATCGGCCACACCAAGGCAGGTGGCCCTGTGGCGGCTGGCCGGAGAGTGTCGGGCGGTGGCCCGCGGCGTGCGGCGCCGGGGTCTGGAGGCCGCACTGCTGCCACAGAGGGTCTCCGTAAACTGAAACATAGCGGCACTGCTGCAGCTCATGGTAGCCCAGCAGTTTGACCAGCTAAATTTGGTTTATGATGGCGATAATGGGGACGCTGTTGCTTTTGGGCTCTGGTGGCAATAAAAACATCCAGCAGTTTTAGTAGCAAACAAAGAGTGCCGACGTTAGGCGACACACCCTCTGGCGGCGTGTAGCCTCCAGACTGCCGACTCCGCGGTCTCGTGGACGCGGTCTTGTTCTTCGGGCCTGCGAGACTACAGCATCTTGATCCCCTCCCCCTTACTGCATCTTGGTCTCTTCAGCAGCTTGGACCCCCTCTACAGCAACTTCGGCCCCTTTGCAGCATCTTGGTCCCCCTCCCCTGCATTGACGGGTGCACGGACAAACTTCTGTCGTCCCCTGACTTACCGCACTGGACCGCGCCGAACTGGACTGCGGTCTGGACTCTGGACTGCGGTCTGGACTCTGGGACTGTGTCTGGAGTCCGGACCCACACCCATGACCCGGCCCACGCACGACCTCTGTATATACCCCCCCCCCCCCCGCGTGCCCGCCTTCTGGCAGAGTTCAGTGACCCCCAGCTCCCTGTCTGGTTTGCGGTGTGAACCCTCCCTCTCCCTGCGAGGCTCGTTTTTCCTGCCATGGTCCGGCCCTGCGGCGACCCCGGACCTCCGGCTCAGTGGTCAGCTGGGACTGCAGCTGTACCCCCAGCTGTGGGGATGGCTGCTTCCTTGGCCCGCGAGTCTGCTCGGTCCGACCACGAGCGACGCCGCTCTAACGCGTTCGTGTTCACCCGAGTGGAAGCTGGAGTTAGCTAACCCCACCGGTGGCCCAAACAGGTGTGCAAGACTACAGCCTCCTCCTCTGAGCCCCCCCCCCCCGCTACCGCCGGTACAGAGGCGCGGACACTCCTCCCCCGGACACTCAGAGTGAGCCTCCGCCGACACTGGGAGTGACCCTCCGCCCCGGCTGCCACCAGCTACACGACCCCCGGACACTCCTCCGTGAGCCTCCGCCGCCACTGGGAGTGACCCTCCGCCCCGGCTGCCACCAGCTACACGACCCCCGGACACTCCTCCGTGAGCCTCCGCCGCCACTGGGAGTGACCCTCCGCCCCGGCTGCCACCAGCTACACGATCCTGTGCCCCAAGAAGACCAAGAACAAGGAGGAAAAGGAATCGGCCGAGATTATCATGGAGGAAATCGAGATGAACACGGAGATGTTCCGCTTTGGACACACAAAGGCAGGCTCAGCGCCCCGCCGAGACGGTCTCGCCGGCGGCGGCAGTCCGGTCCACTAGTAGACGTCCGTCACAGATAGATGGCTGTCAAACAGTCGGACCATTGCCCGTAGACCAGTCCGCCGACAGTAGATCTCAGTGATGCAGCTAGATGTCCGTCACAGTTAGATGTCCGATAGATTTAGATATCCATTAACGTTAGATGTCCGATAGAATTAGACGTCCGTAACAGTTAGACGTCCGAAAGGATTAGACGTCCGTAAGAGTTAGACGTTTTCGAGATAGACGTCCGTCGCAGTTACAGTCCTCCGACAGTAGATGTCCATCACAGAGGCTAGCTGACCCCGCAGTCCAGTCCGCTAACATTAGATGTCCGTTCTATGTAGAATCAGTGCGCGAAGTGCTTCTGAGCTCCTGAGAAGGCAGCGCTGTCCGCAGTGACACTGACGGCCTAGTCCGACCAGAGACAGCGAGATGGTCAGACCAGAGACAGCGAGATGGTCAGACCAGCGGATCAGTAGTCCGACACTGACGGCATAGTCCGACCAGAGACAGCGAGATGGTCAGACCAGAGACAGCGAGATGGTCAGACCAGAGGCAGCGAGATGGTCAGACCAGAGACAGCGAGATGGTCAGACCAGCGGATCAGTAGTAGTTTGGCGTCTGCTACGTTAGCCTGGTCCGTTGTTAAGCAAAGTCTGGTCCGATCTCCGAGTGAAGTCGGGCCCGTTCTTTAGGTATCGTCCCTGATGTATGTAGTTAACAGTTGTGTCGGACCGCTGTAACACGGTGCACAGAGCGGCTGCTGATGCCCGAGGACCCGTGTTGAGGAGCGCCGCGGCAGCATGGCTCAGTGGCCCGTCCGTGCGGCCGATGGACGCGCCCGCCCCCCGAGCCGGGCGGCGGCGTCCCTCGCGGTCTGTGTGTGCTGGGCTGTCTCCCGGGCTGTCCCCCGCCCCCGGGCGGCGCGGCGGCGTCCCTCGCGGTCTGTGTATGCTGGGCTGTCTCCCGGGCTGTCCCCGCCCCCCGAGCCGGGCGGCGGCGTCCCTCGCGGTCTGTGTGTGCTGGGCTGTCTCCCGGGCTGTCCCCCGCCCCCCGAGCCGGGCGGCGCGGCGGCGTCCCTCGCGGTCCGTGTGTGCTGGGCTGTCTCCCGGGCTGTCCCCCGCCCCCCGAGCCGGGCGGCGCGGCGGCGTCCCTCGCGGTCTGTGTGTGCTGGGCCGTCTCCCGGGCTGTCCCCCGCCCCCCGAGCCGGGCGGCGCGGCGGCGTCCCTCGCGGTCTGTGTGTGCTGGGCCGTCTCCCGGGCTGTCCCCCGCCCCCCGAGCCGGGCGGCGGCGTCCCTCGCGGTCCGTGTGTGCTGGGCTGTCTCCCGGCGGCATGTGTTCGTCTGCCGTTTGTGTCCCCCCCCCCCGTGCAATAGCCCTCTGCAGCGGAGCAGTCCCCGTGTGCCCCTCTGTCAGCATCACACCCGCATGACCCCGAGACCTGTGACGTCACCTCCGCAGCACGGGCGGCCCTCCCCAGCTGACGTCCCCATATGACGTCAGCCGTGACGTGTCACCTCGTCTCCGGAGCTCTGCCATCCGACACTGGCCGCCCGAGACCGAGGGACCCCAGCATGTTGTACAGTACTGCCTGCTCTCCTGTCCATGTGACGTCACAGTGACGTGCTGTGTGACGTCACCGTGCAGTTACCGGATCCTGGACCCGAAGAAAGTCACGGACGAATCGGACCCGCGTGACGACTGCGAGCACATCATGACGGATCTGCCGCAGTTCGACAACATGTACCAGTTCGGACATACCAAGGTACCGCAGTAGACACACCAAGGTACCGCAGTACATGTACCAGTTCGGATACAACAAGGTACCGCAGTACATGTACCAGTTCGGACACAACAAGGTACCGCAGCACATGTACCACTACGGACACGCCAAGGTTCTCTGTGCAGAGGGGCCACTCCTCGAAAGCATTACTGAAAAATCACTGTTCTCACTTGTTTTCACTGAGGATCATGGATCATTGACGGCTAGTGTACATACGCGGCACCTGGAACAGTAGCACTTCAGCAAGCCTCAGCGAGACTTCAGCTAGGTCTTACCAAGGCTTTATCAAGGCTGTACCAGGGCTTGACCGGGGTTTTACCAGTGATTTGGCAGAGCTTTAACAGAGCTTACCGGTGCTTCGCAAGGCCTCATCTAGGCTCTGGCACGACTTCACCAAAGCTTTTACTTAGCAGGGCCGCACGATGGCTTCAGCCGGGCTTCGAGAGGACATTATGAGCGTCTAGCATTCCTTTTGGGGCTCACTGCTAGCAATCACACAAGTAAATTATAGTTCAGTGCGGAGACGTCCACAGCAGTTCAAATCTTGTAAGCTGTAACTAAGAGACAGTCGAACCTAATGTCGGCAGCTTCTGATCATGGTTCCAGCAGCATGTCAAAAAAAAAAGCACTCGCTCCGACCTGCCTCTACGCTCTGTCTGGCCGCTTCACTCTCACGGTCCCGGTGGCCGTCGGCTTGCGCCAGACACCTGACTTTCCCTGTGGCAGTCGGTTTGCACCACACGCCAGACGCCTGACTTTCCCTTGTGCTCTGCACTGCATGCCTCCCTTCTCGCTGAAGTGAATGGCTGGGACTTCCAGCGACTACCTCGGCCTTCGTGTCAGCATGGCCCCGCCTGCAGCATGATCAGCAGACCCGCCCTGCCGCTGTCGTACTGCCCGCGGCGCCAGCAGCCAGCAGGCGTCACCACGTGGTATCGGGACTCCCGAACGCCAAACCAAGATGGCGTTCGCTTACCTCGGCACCCGTAGTCATTTCCATGGCGACTGAGAGCGTCCCGCAGCCGTTGCCCTGGTTACCGAATGATGCGCCCGGACGCGGTCACTGCCGATCTGTGTGTGTGTGGGGGGGGGGGGGGGGCGGCTGCAGTAGACCGGCGGTCCGCTCCAACGCCTCAAAGGGCAGCGGCGTCTTCTCGGGGCATGGAAGGCTGTCCAGACGACCGCAGGAATAGCCATGTTTTTGTCGGAATAGCCATCGCAAAATATCCGAATTCAAATTTACAAGGGCATTCATTCGATCGTTTTTGACTTCTAGTAAAACATTGACTCTGCTAAAATGAACTAGCATATACCTTAAGAGACCGGTTGTCAGTCACTGATGTAATGCTCGAATTACGCACTGTAGGTAAAAATAGGTATTCTTTACGGGACCTGCCGCTGATAAAACGATGGTTTGGAAAAATGCCCAGACGCAGCGATGCTGTGTTTGTGGGTAGGCGTACCAAAATGTGAGGTCAAGTATCCTCAATGTCGAAAATGAAACAGCCACGCTACACAAAATCGGCTCACTGTATCGCGAGGATCGCCATCAGCGGCCGCCCATTGCTCCCGCTCCCGAGCCCCGGACCAGCCGCGCTCCTGATCCTCGCCGAGCCGCACTAACATACCCTTCGTGCTGCCGAGGTAAGTGAGGCTGCATGGCGAGCTGTAGGTACTCGCAATCAATAACACCAATGCTGCACATGTGTGCTAGTTCATCTCAACGCTCCACCATTTACATTACCGTAAGATAGTTTTCAGGAATTGCAGCGTCATAAATAATCGCAATGTTTGGAAAATCGGCTTCCATAATTATCTTGCAGTTCCTACAAATAATGCCTTGGATGTGGTCACACTGCAGAATTTGCGGTAGTGCTGCGCGCCCGCGCACCCGGTCCCCGGTGCCCTCTGACCGGCCGCCGCTGCAGGTCTTCTTCCGCGCTGGAGTCCTCGGCCAGATGGAGGAGCTGCGAGACGAGCGGCTCTCAAAGATCTTCAGCTGGCTCCAGTCGTGGGTGCGCGGCTACTTCACCAGGAAGGAGTTCAAGAAGCTGCAGAAGCAGAGGTGGGCGGGCTGCCGGCACCGGGCCGAGTCGTATAGTCATTAGAGAGGGGACGACAGGACCTGCAGAAATATATCTGGGACGGGCTGTCCTCCCCGGTTGGAGTCCTGTAGTAAGTGGAGAAGGGGCGGTAGTGCCGGCAGAAGCAGATGCGGGGCAGGCTGCGAGTGCCGGGTGGAGTCCTGTAATAATTGGAGAAGGGGCGGTAGTGCCGGCAGAAGCAGATGCGGGGCGGGCTGCCGCCTGACCGGCCGGCCGCCATGGGACTCGGCTCCGGAGTGGTGGGGAGGGGTAGCAGCACTGCAGAAGCAGAGACCTGTGAGGGAATGTCTGTGTGTTGATGCTGTTCTGACTGCGGCTCCACGGTCGGCAGGCTGGCGCTCCAGGTTGTTCAGCGCAACCTGCGCAAGTACATGCAGCTGCGCAACTGGATGTGGTTCAAGCTGTGGCAGAAGATCAAGCCCATGCTCAACGTCACCCGCATCGAGGACGAGATGCGCGTGAGTGGACGGATCAGTGGGTCGCCAGCCGACCAGACGTACCATGCCATACCAAACTCGGGGTGTAGTGCGACGTTAATTAAGTAAATACTTTGACTGTGCGGTGAACTGCGACTGAGTGCGTATGACCACGCCGGTATGACTGCTTCTGACCGTGCCTGTATGACCGTGCCCGGCAGGCGCTCGAGGCCAAGGCCGAGAAGGCGCTCTCGGCCATCGAGAAGGAGGAGAAGCTGCGGAAGCAGCTGGACGACCAGAACGCCCGGCTGACCAAGGAGCGCGACGAGCTGCTGTCCGCCCTCGACGAGGAGAAGGGCAGCATCAGCGACTACCACGCCAAGCAGCAGAAGCTGCAGGCGCAGAAGAAGCAGCTGGAGAAGCAGCTGCAGGTGCGTGCCTGAGGTGGCGGCGGGGACTGGCCGGGGAGCGGACAGTGGCCAGGAGCCACAACCTCCGGCAGGAGCGTATTATAGTTTTTCTCATTTGTCCTTGAACTGTCGTCTCTGTCAGGGTAAGAGTATAGAAGCCGGAGTGCTTACAAAATGTTTTGTTTTATACCGCAACGCAGCAGCGAAACAGATAAAGTCTGAACCAGCTTACCATGCTGATTGTTGATGCGTAATATTTACAGGCTACCGAAATTTACGCTAATATTCCTAAAAAAATATGACGGCTTGTATGAAGTTACTGAGACTACCATGTGAACTGCCCCGTAGCCTCACCATGTGACCTGATTTTGTTCTTCCCGCGCCCCTGTGGCCTAGCAACCTGAACTTGCTCCCCCTATGCCCCCAAGAGACCGAGTGACCTGACGCTGCGCCCCTTGTGTACCCCACAGGAGACCCAGGACCGCCTCTCCGAGGAAGAGGAGGCCCGCGAGGCGTTGAACCAGGCCAAGAAGAAGCTGGACCAGGAGATGAACCGGATCAAGAAGGAGCTGGAGGACTACGAGCTGACCATCCAGAAGGCGGAGCAGGACAAGGCCACCAAGGACCACCAGATCCGCAACCTGCAGGACGAGGTGGCCCACCAGCAGGAGCTCATCGCAAAACTCAACAAGGAGAAGAAGCAGCTCCAGGTGCGTTTCAGGGGACAGTGCCGAGTGGGACCACGGTGCCGATTGGGACGCTCGGCACTGAGCGCAGACACGGTCCTGCGGGAAGCAGTCACAAGGGACAGAGGGTGGTTGGAAAGCCAACGGGCTGATGCAAACGGTGGCCATTGCCACGTCAGAATGAAAAACGTGCTGCTTGTTGTTTAAAATAGGTCAGGCCTTCACCTGTCACCATATGTGTCACGTTCGTACTCCACGACCAAGGCCTCTAACGCGGCTGTCACCGGTGCGACCCCTAACCGGCGGTCCGTGCTCGCCCGCAGGAGAACCAGCAGAAGACCTCGGAGGACCTGCAATGCCAGGAGGACCGCGTCAACCACCTGAACAAGGTGAAGGCCAAGCTGGAGCGCTCGCTGGACGAGCTGGAGGACTCGGTGGAGCGCGAGAAGAAGCTGCGCGCCGACGTTGAGAAGAACAAGCGGAAGGTCGAGGGCGACCTGAAGCTGACCCAGGAGGCTGTGGCCGACCTGGAGCGCAACAAAAAAGAACTCGAGCAGACCATCGCGCGCAAGGACAAGGAGATCGCCTCGCTGTCCGGTGAGTGCGGACGGCCAGGGGCGGCCGCGGCATGTGCATTGACGCGGTGAAATAAATAGCCTCTGTAAGACCAGAAACACATTGCGGTCCACGAGTGTGACGTCGCCGTTCTAGCAGCTGATGTCGCTGTCTGATGCCATTTTGACGTCACGGTGTGGCCCTCTGATGTTGCTGACTCTGACGTCCCGTGCAGCCAAGCTGGAGGACGAGCAGGCGCTGGTCAACAAGCTGCAGAAGCAGATCAAGGAGCTGCAGGCGCGCATCGAGGAGCTCGAGGAAGAGCTGGAGGCAGAGCGGCACGCGCGCGCCAAGGCCGAGAAGCAGCGCTCCGACCTGGTCAGTGGCGGGGAGCGGTCACGGGACGACGAGCTGGCCTGGGGAAGGTGGGGACTCGGCTCAGTACTGAATCAGCTCCTAGAGCAAAACACCGATTCTGAAGGGTAGGCCAAGATATTGCTGATACGTCGACGAATGTGTGTGCTTTTTTTGCAAACTGAGCACTAAATACTTTCGTAACACTATTTGAGGGTAGTCGGACAGGGGTTTGTGCGTCCTCACAATCAGTGTAATTTCCGAACCATCATCGCATTGCTGAGACTGCGCCTTCTCTCTCTCCGATGAGTCAACGTGCCTTCTCTAGCCCTTTTGACACCACTTTGTCATCGCAGTCGGCAGCCGCGAGCTGGAGGCTCTCGGCGAGCCGCTGCTGTTGCTGTTGTTGTTGCCTCTGACGCCACTGGGTGCTTGGTCGACAGGCCCGCGAGCTGGAGGAGCTCGGCGAGCGACTGGACGAGGCCGGCGGCGCCACCGCCGCCCAGATCGAGCTCAACAAGAAGAGGGAGGCCGAGCTGGCCAAGCTGCGCAGGGACATCGAGGAGCAGGTGAGTGAGTGAGTGAGTGAGTGAGTGAGTGAGTGAGTGAGTGAGTGAGAGAGAGAGAGAGACAGAGAATAGAGAGAGAGAAAGGAGAGAGCGAGAGACTTAGAGACATCGAGGGATAAGTGTGGCATACGCAGAGACATCAGGACATCGAAAACTTGGTTCGGTGCCAATTCTGCAGTCTGAAACATGCAGAAGTGGCACCGAATCAAGTGACCAGTATACCTTGGCACAGGTGGTCTATGCAGGTTAAAAATTCAGGCAGGTGGTTGTAACCAATACTGAAGACTGGTCACCCTAGAGCATTGAGGAGTGACTTTCCTTCTTCTGTAGGATCGCCATATACATATGTACCACCGGCTGACAAACCTATATCATGCGTTCTCAGCCGCACTTGGGCCACAGACTCGCCGCATGCCCTGAGTTGCCACTGCCCCTTAGTGACGGCACGCTGACGTCACACTGACGTCCTCAGCTGACGGCATACTGACGTCATTCACTGACGCTCGTTCGCAGAACATTCAGAACGAGTCGGCGCTGGCGGGAATGCGCCGACGCCACAACGATGCCGTGAACGAGATGTCCGACCAGATCGACCAGCTCAACAAGATGAAAGCCAAGTGAGTGACCGACAGGTTACGTCGTCATGCAGTTTGTGAGTCCTATAATCATTGGGTGACTCACTAATGTGTCGATAGGGGTTCGATTAAAATTACAATCGTCTTTCGCTGTTCGCTGCTCATTTAGATTCACTTCTACTGTGCGTACATTTTACTTTTGGAAATCATTTCCATGATCCACCTGGCTCTCACGTGGCAGGACTCCCCAGTCTCTCTGGCGCGTTTCTCCGCCCTTACCGGCGAGTTTCTCCGCCCTGACCGTCGCGTTTCTCCGCCCTGACCGTCGCGTTTCTCGCCGTCAGGGCCGAGAAGGACCGCGAGGCCTCGGCCGCAGAGGTGATGGACCTCCGCTCCGGGCTGGATTTCGCCACGACCGAGAAGGTGGGCTCCTCGGGAGGGGCGTGGGCAGCTCCGGAAGGGGTAGGCAGCTCCCACAGGGAGGTGGGCACCTCCGGAAAGAAAGTGGGCTCCTCTGGAACGGAGGCTACTCTGTGGGGAGATAGGCTCCTTTGAAATGGAAGGTTTGCTACTCCAGGAGGGAGGGCGCTCTGCTCTGGGATTACAGAGCAGAGCAGAGTGATTCGATGGCTTTTAATTTTTGCCACGCAGTATGTGTATTGTGTATTTCATAAAAAGCAGTCTTTAAACAGTATGTGCGCCTTTTAATCTCACTATCCCGCTTGTTTCGCCGTGCGCCACTTCTGATGTCAGTTGATGCTAGTTTGTGCCCCGGCTGACGTCCTCTGACGTATTCGTGTCCCCCTGGTGGCGTCAGTCGGCCGCCGAGAAGGCCAACCGTGTGCTCGAGCAGCAGACGGCCGAGGCGTCCGCCAAACTGGACGAGGCCAACCGAGCGCTCAACGACTTCGAGGCCGCCAAAAAGAAACTGGCCATGGAGAACGCCGACTACACCCGACAGGTGCGTACCTACGTGGTGCGCTCGCGTGCGAGGCAGAATGACACACAGGTGCCACTGCTCTCTGTCAGGGCGACAGACTCTCTTCTGGAGAAGGATAATCAGCGCGCAGTCTTAACACTTTTTAAACTGACACATTTGAGGGCCCCACGCTGGACGCCGTATTAGATGCATTCTTAATGTTTCAAAAGTGGAGTAAACACTCTCTGGTGTCTCAGTCGCACGGTTCACTTAAGTTTATTTCTTCAAAATAAGACAATGTATAACAAGTAAAAAGTATATACTTCTTGTTAACGATGCATGACAAACTTTTCTATGCATCATCTCGTCTGGCTTTTATCAATTAGTTGCTGATGCTGCTAGCTCGCCTGTTTTTTTCTTCACATTTTGGGATTACTCTTTCCCTGCACTGATTTTTCTGCGTCTGTGTGTTGTGTGCGTATCTGCAGTTGGAGGAGGCCGAACAGAACATTGCGCAGCTCTCCAAGATGAAGGTGTCACTGACCACACAGCTCGAGGACACCCGCAAAATGGCCGACGAGGAGTCGCGCGAAAAGTCTGGAATTCTGGGCAAATACCGCGCGCTGGAGCATGAGATGGACTGCCTGCGGGAACAGGTGGGAAGCGACAGGGGACAGACGGGAAAAGTGGCGACAGGCTGGATGGGCGCATCGGGTCATCGTGGAATGCCCATGACAGCCAGGATCATCAGAGGTCACATGTAGCCGCCGCAGTCATCGGCCCTGGTAGCGTAGTTGGTGTTTCCATCATCCCGGTGGTGGGGAAGTTTTGAGTTCGATTCCTCCTGGCGCCGCCCGCACCCTCCGAGGGAGGCGCTGTCTCCAGCTGCGTCGCCAAGAGTGGGATAGGCTCTCGCTGCTTTCGCAGCCCCAGGGGGGGGGGGGGGTAAAGAGACGAGTAGCAAGGGCTTTCCTGAAACTAGGACACAGAAAACTAAATTTTCATCTTGCTTTGTTGCATATGTTCGTCAAAAGGAATTTGAAAAGTCTACCTATGGACATTTCCGAAGATTTTGGACGATATCAAACCATTTTTAAACTCACTGACTTGAAAGCAATTTATTATATATATGGTCCATGCTTGCATGTCACACACACCTTACGGTTTTTGAAAATTTCAAAAAAATATCGATTTTTATACCATTTTCTATACATTTGCTTTTTGAGAATTTTCCGGTCCAAACTTCAACGTTAGGGAAATTTGAGATAGCTATTTTGTATAACTCAACATTCAACGTCCTATCATAATTTAAAATTTGAAATTGCTTATCAAATGACAGAGAAGTGGCTGTTTGAATATTGACCTTATTTTGGCTCGAAAATTGCGTATAGTGACGTCATAAAACTGTCATTTTTCCAAAGTTTCCCGACAGATTTCGCCGAAAGTTTCAGAGCATGTGTCAAATTGATGCAAAAGAAGGCACTGAAACTGTCGTGTTGATAGCAAACGCGGTTCATGAGTTAACGCAAAAATCCGGGAGGGGGCAATATTTGCCCCCCCCCCAGGGCCACGTGGGTTTAACATTGATTAGGAAGACAGTCATGAAAGCCAAGTGAGATAGCTGTTGCAGGGTTGGGTGTTTCCAAGATAATTTTTGTGCTTGGTCAGGTAGCTGATGTCATTGCGGATCACTTAAGATTTTTTTTTTAAATAGATGGGTTGGTAAGCTGAATGTGAGAACAACTGGGAATATATGAGAACAATGATATGGTGCCACTATGGTTTAGCGTGCCAGTATATGCATAACGCAACTGAGAAAAGGCTAAGAACTTCCCAATATGTTGTTAATTCGATTCAAGTGAGGCTGCAGCTTGACGTCATAGGTAACGTGTCTGTGTGTGACGTCACAGGTGGAGGAAGAGGCGGAGCATAAGGCCGAGCTACAGCGACAGCTCAGCAAAATCAACGCCGAGGCGCAGATGTGGAAGCAGAAGTACGAGCAGGACGGCCTGGCCCGGTGAGTGACGCCATCAGTGGCTGGCGTCACGAATAAGTGACGTCACTATCGGCCAATGAAAGGGATAAGCAGGGATAGTCTCAGTTCCTGAGTGGATCTCGCCATGACAGCCAACGGTGCTATTGTTATTTCAGATGCATACTCGCTATTTGCTGTCAATTTACACCTTTAAAACCCTATTCCGGGCGGGGGGGGTTAAGGCCCCCTCTTCAGGTTTTCTTGTGCCATTGCCAAACGCCGCAAGACTGAAAGCTCATACTCGGTGACTTTTTCTGAACATTCATTGCGCACATTTTGACAAAAAAAAAGTTGCCGGTCAGGGCAGGTCAGGTCACCAGAGGCGGTTTGTTGACCCCACCTCAGAAAAGTTTGCAATCACGCCAGAGCTAGAGTTTTTGACTTATCAATTTCTTCTCTTCAGGTTTTAGTTGGGGTACCAGTATGTGCAATTTGCATATCTCAGAATTTTTTATATCTGTGACCTGAGGCCAGGCCAGACTCGTGACCTTTACATTGCAAGCCTATGGAAAAATATTTGAAACGCCTCCTGCTTCGTGTAAACGAGTCAAAATTACTCAAATCTTTCAGTATTATGGAAGATTATCTCATCGGTGATGATACTGCCCAGTAAACATGACAACGTCGGCCCGACGTCGGGCCGAGGCTCGGCCCGACGTCGGCCCAACGTCGGTTCAACCTCGGCCCGACATCGGCTGGACATCGGATATGCCCGCATGTTCCGACGTCCAGCCGAAGTCCAGCCGACGTCGAGCCGACGTCGGGCCGAGATCGTCTGCCGAGGTTGACGAGATAGTTTGTCGTTGGACCGACGGGGCCGACGTCGGCATGTTTATTGGGACAACGCGCCAAAAATATCAACCGGCGGCGGGATTCGAGCCCCCCAGTCGCCGACGTCGGCATGTTTACTGGGACAACACGCCAAAACCATTAACCGGCGATGGGATTCGAACCCCGTGCCATTCAAACGCGAGGCTAGTGCACTAACCACTAAACCACGCAGCCAGCTAACAACTTCGGTTTTTGTTGGGTTATGCCCTTTCGGTCTGACAAGACCATTTCAGAACCGGAAGGATCATAGGATGGAGACATTGGTCTTCTTGGCGAGCACCCTGGGTCCAGTTCATATAGAGTCCCTGGTCCCATTGCTGTTACGTGACACATACTGGAAAGGGTGACCCCACAATGGATTCATATAGCCACTCTTACACACCTGCACCAACGTTTCCCAAAGTGTCCCTTTGATAAGTGGCACTTTGGCAAAGTGACACTTGCCGACTGGCCTTTCTATATGAACTGGGCCCGGCCCTGGTGAGTTGCCGGGGCTGAGCCTGACCAAAGGATAGGCCGAGCAGCCCCCAAGCACTCACCACACCCGGCTACGGGCGAGCTCGGCTTACGGGCAATCCCAAATGGGATAAAGTTTCCCGTCCAGTCCGGATCAGGGGGTTGCGGCGTGGAGGAAGATTTGAGTTTCCTGAGGATATTTTGAATACAGAGGCTCTTTATGAAACATGAAACATGTATTTTATATCATTTTAACGGTCAAGACAGCGGCCGATGTCGGTCCGACGTCGCCCCGACGTCGGCCCGACGTCGGCTGGACCTCAGCAATTGATCTCGGTCCGACGTCGGCCCGACATCGGCTGGACCTCGGCTGGACGTCGGAACATGCGGGCATATCCGACATCCAGCCGACGTCGTGCCGAGGTTGGACCGACGTCGGGCCGACGTCGGCATGCCGGTGCCGAGTTGCCGACGTCACCCCGACGTCGGCCGACGTCGGGCCGACGTCAGCATGTTTACTGGGTGGTGCCGCTTATTGACAGGGGCACCGGGAAAGGTCATCTGAGGTCATGTGACGTCATAAATCGTTTTCTGTCAATAAATCACGACATGATGGTACTAAAGACTTGTAAGTGGTAGCAAATTGCTCGCCTGGTCAAGGCGCGTCGTTTGGTATGCAGCATGACCATACCCCACAACCTCATTGGTGAATGACCTGACCTTGACCTCAGGTAAAATTTCAAAGTGACCTGTGAAGGTCACCGCATACTTATTTCGCATCGCCTCGACGAGAGCAACAAAAAATGTATTACTTTTATGTATCTGTTTCTTAGTTTAAAAGTTAAAGTAACAAATTCCAAAATATTTTATCGTTGATGACCTCTGGTGACCTCAATATTGACCTGACCCGAAAATGTTTTATGTAGACGTTGTAGAACTTCAAACGACCTATCAAACGCCGTTTGCCGTTTTGTCGCTCCGATGTGTAGTTTTTTTAAATCTGAAGGGGGGCCGAAAAGGCCCCCGCTAAGAATCAAACCTTTCAGAGCCCGCCCGGAATAGGGTTAACTGCGACTATTGTTTCGCCATTCCCGGTCGGCCATGTTGTGCTGACCGGTCGGCCATGTTGTGCTGACAGGGTGGAGGAGCTGGACGACCAGCGCAGCAAGCTGGCGCTGCGCCTCCAGGAGGCCGAGGAGCAGCTCGAGTCGCTCAACGCCAAGAACAGCCAGCTGGAGAAGCTGAAGCAGCGCCTGAGCGGCGAGCTCGAGGACATGCACATGGAGGTGGACCGGGCCCAGCAGCTGGCGCTGGCCATGGAGAAGAAGGCCCGCAACTTCGACAAGGTTAGCCGGGGCCGGGACCGCTGTGACTGGGCGCCGCCGTTGGTGGAAGGGAGGGAAGCTGAGAGCGGGCGCCGCCAGAAGAGGATTGCGGGGACTGCCGTCATTAGGGAGATGGGGCCGCGCTCTGTGCTGGCGCAGACTGAGGGATATGGGGACGCTCTGTGCTGGCGCAGACTGAGGGATATGGGGCCGCGCTGTGTGCTGGCGCAGACTGAGGGATGTGGGGACGCGCTGTGTGCTGGCGCAGACTGAGGGATATGGGGACGCGCTGTGTGCTGGCGCAGACTGAGGGATATGGAGCCGCGCTGGGTGCTGGCGCGGGCTGGGTGGTCAGAGGGCGTCAGCTAGGATGGTAGGACAGATGTCTGATACAGAAGGCAGAGCCATGTTAGAATCACGCGAGACCAGTACCGAGATCTCACGCCGGTGAACACGTGTGGAGGATGAGGTCGATGACCACCTCCCCGGGCCGACTGACGCCCCCGCTCCCTGGCGCGACTGATTCCTTACCCCCCCCCCCCCCCGCTCCTCCTCCAGAGGCTCCAGGTGGTGGACGTCTCCCCTGGCCCGACTGATTCCTCTCCCCGCTCCTCCTCCAGAGGCTCCAGGTGGTGGACGTCTCCCCTGGCCCGACTGATTCCTCCCCCGCTCCTCCTCCAGACGCTCCAGGTGGTGGACGTCTCCCCTGGCCCGACTGATTCCTCCCCCGCTCCTCCTCCAGACGCTCCAGGTGGTGGACGTCTCCCCTGGCCCGACTGATTCCTCCCCCGCTCCTCCTCCAGACGCTCCAGGTGGTGGACGTCTCCCCTGGCCCGACTGATTCCTCCCCCCGCTCCTCCTCCAGACGCTCGAGGTGGTGGACGTCTCCCCTGGCCCGACTGACGCCTCCCCGCTCCTCCTCCAGGTGGTGGCTGAGTGGAAGCTGAAGGTGGAGGACCTCTCCACCGAGCTGGACGCCTCGCAGAAGGAGTGCCGCAACTACAGCACCGAGCTGTTCCGCGTCAAGGCCGCCTACGAGGAGTCGCAGGAGCAGCTCGACTCGATCCGGCGAGAGAACAAGAACCTCTCCGACGAGATTAAGGCGCGTGCGGCCGGGACTGGAGAGAGGGCTGTCTGTCCGCACCCTCCTACCGGCTGTCTTCGCAGTGCCGCTGCATTTTCCGCTCTTCTTCACCTCTTTTTACAAGCTTGTTTTCGCTATGGGACAGCTCTTTGTCTTTTCAATACTATTCTCCTGATGTGCAAAGCATGAGGTACTTGAGTGCTATGCTAGCGGAAAGGTCGTCAACACACCGTTGCCAGCTGTGACCTCAGTGTGGCCACACTGACCCTGCAGTCCGCTGCAGGACCCGATGGACCAGATCATATCCTGCACAGGACCTTGTGTGACTCGCTGACGTGGTGTGTCCGCTGCAGGACCTGATGGACCAGATCGGCTCCTGCACAGGACCTTGTGTGACTCGCTGACGTGGTGTGTCCGCTGCAGGACCTGATGGACCAGATCAGATCCTGCACAGGACCCCGTGTGGCCACACTGACCCCGCAGTCCGCTGCAGGACCTGATGGACCACATCAGATCCTGCACAGGACCTTGTGTGACTCGCTGACGTGGTGTGTCCGCTGCAGGACCTGATGGACCAGATCAGATCCTGCACAGGACCCCGTGTGGCCACACTGACCCCGCAGTCCGCTGCAGGACCTGATGGACCACATCAGATCCTGCACAGGACCTTGTGTGACTCGCTGACGTGGTGTGTCCGCTGCAGGACCTGATGGACCACATCAGATCCTGCACAGGACCTTGTGTGACTCGCTGACGTGGTGTGTCCGCTGCAGGACCTGATGGACCAGACCAGCTCCTGCACAGGACCTTGTGTGACTCGCTGACGTGGTGTGTCCGCTGCAGGACCTGATGGACCAGATCGGCGAGGGCGGCCGCCACATCCACGAGGCAGAGAAGGCGCGGAAGCGGCTGGAGGTGGAGAAGGAGGAGCTGCAGTCGGCCCTGGAGGAGGCCGAGGCCGCCCTCGAACAGGAGGAAAACAAGGTGACCGCCCGACCTGACGCGACCTGACCTGACCCACCCGTCCCCGACTCAACACTTGGCGCAATGTACAAGCTACAACCACCGATAGCTCAACTCAGCACCACTGGTACCGTTATGGACCGGTGTCTAACTCGTAATCGAAGTGTTCACTTATTCGACATGTTGATCCACGATATCTCGGAGCTTACAGGCCTCAGTCTGTCGGACTCACATAAAGCCATTGTAACAGGCTGGCACAGGTGTAGGTACAAGCACCAGCAGACGCGTCTTTGACTGTGTCAGGTCTCTCGCAGATAGGCAATGCTATGAACTTACTGCTGTTCCCGGAGTAGTTCAGCTGATGGTCCCGGGGCAGGTCAGCTGATACTCGCGGGGTAGGTTTGGTGATGCTCCTGGGGTAGGTTTGGTGATGCTCCTGGGGTAGGTCAGCTAATGGTCCCGGGGCAGGTCAAGTGATGTTCCCGCAGAAGGTCAGCTGATGGTCCCGGAGTAGGTCGGCTGATGTCGCCGCCCCGTTCCAGGTCCTGCGGGGTCAGCTGGAGCTGCAGCAGGTTCAGCAGGAGACCGAACGACGGGTGGCTGAAAAGGAGGAGGAGTTCGAAAACACACGGTAAGGGTGGGAGAGGCGGAATAAAACACAGGCTGAGCGTGGGGAGAGACGGGGCGAATGAAGGTGGGGAGAGACGGGGCGAATGAAGGTGCCTGAAATGTCGCTTGACACTGTTCTTGCTCTCCTTTCAAGCGGCTTCATTTGAGAAAAAATATATTTGGACGGTTGGAAAATCCCTCAGCCGATGACCGGGCAGTGTGTGCAGGCCAGGGCCAGATCGAAGGAGTAGCACTCGCCGACTGCCCAGTGTTACCTGCACCTATATCTCTTTTGTTATCCCTCTGTTACATCTCTGTTACCCTCTGTTATCCCCCTGTTACCCCGCAGGAAGACGCACCAGCGCGCCCTGGACTCCATGCAGGCGTCGCTGGAGGCCGAGGCCAAGGGCCGCGCCGAGGCCATGCGCATGAAGAAGAAACTGGAGCAGGATATCAACGAGCTGGAGATCGCGCTGGACCAGGCCAACAAGGCCAACGCCGAGGCGCAGAAGACGATCCGGCGCTACCAGGCCGAGATCATCGAGCTGCAGGTCAGTGGCGATACCGAGATTATCCAGCTGCAGGTCAGTGGCGATACTGAGATTATCGAGCTGCAGGTCAGTGGCGATACCGAGATTATCCAGCTGCAGGTCAGCGCCGATACCGAGATTATCCAGCTGCAGGTCAGTGGCGATACCGAGATTATCCAGCTGGAGGTCAGTGGGGATACCGAGATCATCGAACTGGAGGTCAGTAGCTATACCGAGATTATCCAGCTGGAGGTCAGTGGCGATACGAAACACGAGACCGAGGCTGGTGTAAGGCAAACAGGCGAGGTACGCTGACAAAGTAGAATGACAGAGCCGTTGGCGGGTAGTGGGACGTGTGTCAGTCGCCGTATTTGACTGTATGTTTTTTGTGTGTAACGCGACAGGCCCGTCTGGAGGAGGAGGTGCGCATGCGCGACGACCTGCGGGAACAGCTGGGCACCTCGGAGCGGCGCGGCAACGCGCTCAGCGGCGAGCTGGAGGAGAGCCGCACCCTGCTGGAGCAGGCCGATCGCGCCCGCCGCCAGGTGAGAAGAGTGGGAGAGAGAGGAGGTATGTAGGAGAGAGGGATGGTGGAGGAAGGGAGAGAGAGGGAGGGGGAGGGAGGAGAGCCGCACCCTGCTGGAGCAGGCCGATCGCTCCCGGCGCCAGGTGAGAAGAGTGGGAGGGAAGAGATGGAGAGGAACGAGCTACTTCTTCCTCGACAATGTCTATCTCCCAATTCTACAAGCTGAAGTGGATCTTGCAGATTACATTCGTTCTGAGACTGGGGTGGCCCCCTACCCCCATCCGTCAGGCGGAGCTGTATGTGACAGTCTCTCCTTTCCCCCTCCCCAGGTGGAGCTGGTCCTGACGGACGGTCTCATGACCAGCTGTATCTGACCGTGTTTCCCCTTCCCAAGGCCGAGCTGTGTCTGACAGTATGTATCCTCCCCTGCAGGCGGAGCTGTGTCTGACAGTATGAATCCTCCCCTGCAGGCGGAGCTGTGTCTGACAGTATCCTCCCCTGCAGGCGGAGCTGTGTCTGACAGTATCCTCCCCTGCAGGCGGAGCTGGACCTCACAGACGGCCAGGACCAGCTCTCCGAACTGCAGGCCAACTACACGGCCGCCACCCTGGCCAAGCGGAAGCTGGAGGGCGAGGTGCAGTCTCTGCACACGGACCTCGACGACATGCTCAACGAGGCAAAGAGCTCCGAGGAGAAGGCCAAGAAGGCCATGGTGGACGCCGCCAGGTGGGCTCCACAAATGTGGAAAATGTGGACGGTGGCAGCGGGAAACGTGGAGCGGGTGTCAGTGCAAAGGGCCGAACTGGATGGTATGCAGAGTGGAGCGTTAGAGCGGGTCTATGATCGATAGGGATGAGCAGGGTTTCTGGACTCGGTTGTCTGGGGCAGGGAGCCATTGTTTGCGACACGGTCAGGCGGTTGGTAATTGTTTTGGCTGATGCCCTGTCTGTGACCAGCACCCACTGAGTTGTATATCCTGATTTACGTCACCCACTAGCATGTGTCTGTATCCTGTGTCCCGTCCGGTGACCTGTGCGCCTGTATCCGGTGTCCCGCTTGTCCTATATCCTGTGTCCCGCGTGTCCTGTGCCCCGTGGGTCCTGTGTCACGTGTGTCCTGTGTCCCGCGCGTCCTGTGTCTCGCGTGTCCTGTGCCCCGTGGGTCCTGTGACTCCTGTGTCCCGTGTGTCCTGTGTCCCGTGTGTCCTGTGTCCCGCGTGTCCTGTGTCCCGTGTGTTATGTCTGTGAGCTGTGTCCCGTATCCTGTGGTCCGCGTTGTGCCGGGACCTGAATCTTTAACGGAGCCTGTCCACAGGCTGGCTGACGAGCTGCGAGCCGAACAGGAGCACTCCCTCTCGCAGCTCAAACTCTGCAAGAGTCTGGAAGTGCAGATCAAGGACCTGCAGGTGAGTAGCGCTGGGCGGCGGCGGTGGAGCGGTCTGTGCGCGAGCCGGTCACCGGGCCGGGACTATATCGACCCACGCCGGGTCACCGGACAAGGGACTATAGCGACCCACGCTGGGTCACCGGGCCGGGACTATAGCGACCCACGCCGGGTCACCGGACAAGGGACTATAGCGACCGGCACGCCGGGTCACCGGGCCGGGTGTGTTCCGACCTGAGCTGTCACTCCGTTCACTTGAAGTTTGGAGCCGTCGCTGGAAAACAGCCGTGGCTTCTTGTTCGTTTTCTGAAGCCGGGTGAATGACCTGTCACGTCTAGCTCTCTTCATCAGCGAAAATTGTTCCAGCCATTTCGTGAGCTCACTTTAATTGAGCCACCAAATAAGGTCATCTCTGCTCATTGCGTTCCCTCCACCCGTTTAAGATCGCCCTGAACTGTAACCTATGTCCTATCGTCTGCCCATGAGCCGCGCTGACCTACCCTCTGCCCACTGAGGACCCGCTGACCTGTCACCTGATCTGTGACCTCCGCCCTGCCCAGGCGCGCGTCGAGGACGCCGAGCAGAACGCCATCAAAGCGAGTCGCAAGATCATCGCCAAGCTGGAGGACCGGGTGCGGACTGTGGAGCAGGAGCTGGACAGCGAACAGCGCCGCCACAGCGAGGCCCAGAAGAACCTGCGCAAGACCGAACGGCGCATCAAGGAGCTCAGCTTCCAGGTCAGAGAGGGCGGTGGCGGCCGGCGGGCAGGGAGGAGGGACCGAGGGAGGGGTCGGCGGCAGCGGCCTGTCTGACGGACGGCCGCCAGACATCTCCACTGCTCAACAAATAGTGCAATGCTCCCGGGCTCTGAGCGATGCAGCCTGGTTAATTTTTCACAACTTTCTTGAGGAAGTGGCATCAATGATGTCAAGTTTGCGTCTGTGCGGTCTAGCGCGTCCGTTCGCACCGATCTGACTGACGCGCGGCACTGAGCCCCCTGTGTTCACTCCGAGTGACCCTCCCCCGCGCGGCACTGAGCCCCCTGTCTTCCCTCCGAGTGACCCTCCCCTCCTGCCGCGGCACTGAGCCCCTGTGTTCCCTCCGAGTGACCCTCCTGCCGCGCGGCACTGAGCCCCCTGTGTTCCCTCCGACTGACCCTGCCCTCCCCCGCGCGGCACTGAGCCCCCTGTGTTCCCTCCGAGTGACCCTCCCCTCCTGCCGCGGCACTGAGCCCCCTGTCTTCCCTCCGAGTGACCCTCCCCTCCTGCCGCGGCACTGAGCCCCCTGTCTTCCCTCCGACTGACCCTCCCCTCCTGCCGCGGCACTGAGCCCCCTGTGTTCCCTCCGAGTGACCCTCCCCTCCTGCCGCGGCACTGAGCCCCCTGTGTTCCCTCCGAGTGACCCTCCCCTCCTGCCGCGGCACTGAGCCCCCTGTCTTCCCTCCGACTGACCCTCCCCTCCTGCCGCGGCACTGAGCCCCCTGTGTTCCCTCCGAGTGACCCTCCCCTCCTGCCGCGGCACTGAGCCCCCTGTGTTCCCTCCGAGTGACCCTCCCCTCCTGCCGCGGCACTGAGCCCCCTGTGTTCCCTCCGAGGGACCCTCCCCTCCTGCCGCGGCACTGAGCCCCCTGTGTTCCCTCCGAGTGACCCTCCCCTCCTGCCGCGGCACTGAGCCCCCTGTGTTCCCTCCGAGTGACCCTCCCCTCCTGCCGCGGCACTGAGCCCCCTGTGTTCCCTCCGAGTGACCCTCCCCTCCTGCCGCGGCACTGAGCCCCCTGTGTTCCCTCCGAGGGACCCTCCCCTCCTGCCGCGGCACTGAGCCCCCTGTGTTCACTCCGACTGACCCTCCCCTCCTGCCGCGGCACTGAGCCCCCCCCCCTGTCTTCCCTCCGAGTGACCCTCCCCTCCTGCCGCGGCACTGAGCCCCCTGTGTTCCCTCCGAGTGACCCTCCCCTCCTGCCGCGGCACTGAGCCCCCTGTGTTCCCTCCAAGTGACCCTCCCCTCCTGCCGCGGCACTGAGCCCCCTGTGTTCCCTCCGAGTGACCCTCCCCTCCTGCCGCCACAGACGGAGGAAGACAAAAAGAACCACCAGCGCATGCAGGACCTGGTCGACTCGCTGCAGCAGAAGATCAAGACGTACAAGCGTCAGATCGAGGAGGCCGAGGAGATCGCCGCGCTCAATCTCGCCAAGTTCCGCAAGTCGCAGCAGGTCAGTGACGCGCGCGCTTGTAGCTGTAAGGAGAGATGAGCGGCGTCTGGTGGCTCCAAGAGGAACGGGCAGCGTTTACTAGCTCTGAGAGGATAGGCAGCGTCTGTCAACTCTGAGGGCGATTTGGGTACGTCTGCTAGCTCTCAAGGGACGCTCATAGTCTGTTGGTTCTGAGTCGGTCGCAGCGCGTCAGCCGAGGAGGCGGCGGAGCTGGGCCTCCATCTCCTCTTCCGAGAAGGGTTGACACGCGTCGGTTTTTCGGCCCTCCCGTGTTCATGTGAGGGCCGAAAAACCGACGCGTGTCAACCCTTCTCGGAAGAGGAGATGGAGGCCCAGCTCAGAAAACTGAAGATGAGGAAGGCCCCCGGCCCAGACGATATTTGCGCCGAGCACCTGTCACACCTGGGCTCTACGGCGCGGGGAGTCATCCTCTCCCTCATCAACCGCTCCTGGGATACCGCTCTCATCCCCTCGACCTGGAGAAGGGCAACCATTATCCCAATTCCTAAAGCAGGCAAGAACCCGGGCTCGGTGAGCGGCTACCGTCCCATCAGTCTCACCAGTCACCTGGCGAAGCTGGCTGAACGGATGGTCGCCGCTAGACTAACCTACGTGGCGGATAAGAAGCGCCTGGTTCCGCCCGAACAGGTTGGTTTCCGACGAGGCCGAGGCGCAGAGGAGAGCCTTGCCAGACTGATCCAGACAGTACAGGACGGCTGGAACCGGCCGAAGCCACGGGGACGCCCGGTAGACGGATCTACCGCTGACAAGTTCGTCCTGCTGGCCTTCGATTTTAGCCGCGCCTACGATACAGTGGACCACCGGATGCTCTACTCAAAACTCCTCCGTCACCTCCCGAGGTGCATGGCCACGTGGGTGTTCGGCTTCCTGAGGGACCGCCGAGCCAGAGCCGAGGTGAATGGGGTGCGCAGCTCGGAGCGCCCCTTTCGAGCGGGCCTGCCACAGGGGTCGGTCCTGGCCCCCACCCTCTTCACCCTCTGGTCCGCCGACCTCATCGAGGACCTCGGCCGCGTCCCGAGGACGTCAGTCTTCGCGTATGCGGACGATACGGCGACACTGAGCGCAGGAGCCTCGATGCCCGAAGCAAAGGCCAGAGCGCAGCAGGCAGCGGACACCCTAGCGGGGTGGGCGCGCCGCTGGAAAATGAAGATCGCCGGCCAAAAAACACAAGCCCTCGTCCTCTCCCAGTGGAGCAAGGATGCCACTGACTTCAAGCTCAAGGTTGATGGTGCCGAAGTCAAGGGAAGCCCTCACCTGAAGCTCCTCGGCATCACGCTAGATAGGCTTCTTCATTTCGGCGAGCACTGTGCCAGTGTGAGGAGAAAAACCAAACCCCGGATCGCCCACCTGCGCTCCATGACGAACCGGTCGTGGGGACTGCAGGAACAGCAGCTCCGGACGGTGGCCAATGGCTACATCAGAGGAGCCCTCGAGTATGCGGCATCGGCGTGGCTACCCGCCACGCCCCCCGGACATGTCGAGCAGCTGGACCGCGAGCTACGATCGGTGGCTCGCGTGGTGACCGGCTGCACACGCTCAACCCCGGTAGCACCGCTCATGGCAGAGGCCGGACTACCAGCCGCTCAGGTCAGGCGAGGCACTCTGGCCACCAGGATGCTCTGCCTGGCGAGATCGCTACCTGAAGACGACCCGCTGCGAGTGATCGCCGATCAAGACCCCCCTCGCCGACTGAAGTCGACCACTGGTTGGAGACGCCTAGGGAGAGAGGCCCTCCGAGCATGCCACCTGGAGGATGTGCCGGTGGAGGAGCGCCTGCAGGTGATGCTCCCCCCGTGGTCTGACCCGGGCACCATCAGGATATCCCCGAACATGAGCGGGGCTGCTAGCCGGGACGCCCCCGCCGCGATTCGCCGCCAGACCGCCGAGAACTACCTCGCCACCTTCCCAGAAGCCGCTACCTGGATCTGGAGCGATGGCTCGGCGGAGGGCGGCACGACGAACGGCGGCGGCGGCGCCCTCCTCATACTCAGGAACGGGGAGGCCAGGGAGATCAGGGTCGCCGCAGGACGCCTGTGCTCCAGCACCCGCGCCGAATTGTGCGCTATCAAAGCGGCGCTGGAGGAGGTCAGCAACCTATCAGGTGCCGAGGCAGAGGGACCCGTGGTCCTGTGTACCGACTCCCAGGCGGCGCTGTCCATGCTGGCCGGAGGGGCGGGATCGCAGACCACCCCGATGGGCGCGGCGATCTGGGCCCTGCTGCTCAGCATCTCCGCCAGAGGCCAAGAGGTGATGCTGCAGTGGGTACCAGCGCATTGCGGTATCCCCGGCAACGAAAAGGCGGACGAGCTGGCGAGAGAAGCAGCCGGCCTCCAGCAGGAGGCGCCAGCGGATGTCCGCACCATCACGGGCGCCGTGGCCAGGACGGCTGCAGAGGCATGGCGCAAGTCGTGGCCGGATTCTTTCTTCCGGCGAATTTGGGGAGACCGGATGCCGAGCCCGGTCTCCGGCGTGAGCAGGAGCGAGGCGGTGGATGTACACCAACTGAGGGCCGGTCACTGGGGAATGGCCCGCCAGTATCTCCACCGTATCGGCCGCCTTCCGACGAACTCGTGCCCCGGCTGCCCCGAGAAGGACTGCCCTGCGGCGCGATGTATCGTGTGCAAGGAGGAGGCGGACACACCGGAGCATGTGCTGCTCCGATGCCCGAGTCTCGCCGGACTGCGCCTTCGGTTGCTCGGCAACATACACGTGGACCCTGCGCAGCTGCGCGACGGCGACGTCGTCGCGGCCTTGGCCCGCGGCTTCAGGCGCCATCTGGAGCCGCTGGCTGACGGGCGACCCTAGAGGTCGCCCGGGAGGAACAACAACAACAACAACAACAACAGGAGGCGGCTGACAGCGCTGCCGGGATGGAGCAGAGTCTTTTACTCTGAGTCTGATGGAGATCGAGAGCCCGCGGCCGAGGACTGTCGGCGGCACCGGCCGGGGACTGTCGGCGGCGGGACTGGGCGGGACTGTCGGCGGTACTGCCGGGGACTGTCGGCGGCACCGGCCGGGGACTGTCGGCGGCACCTGCCGCGGAGCGGTGGGAAGGGAGGCGCTGGGATGTGCTGGCAGACTGGCGGTCGGGCCTGGGGTCAGTGACCGGAGGTTCCCGGCCAGTGGCCACCCTGTCGTGTCCCCCTCCTAAGGAGCGTTGTACCCTGACCCCCCCCCCCCCCTGTACTCACCAGGAGCTGGAGGAGACCGAGGAGCGCTGCGAGATGGCCGAGGCCACGCTCTCCAAGTTCCGCGCGCGCGGCGGCCGAGGGATGTCGCCCATCCGCGGCCAGAGCCCGGTGGGTCAGCAGTGGTCACCGGACACCGTACAGCGGCGAATGGCTCCCATAGAGAGCGGAATGGATCCTATACAAAGTGGAATGGCCACCCCATGCAGATCGAAATGATCCCCAATTCAGAGTGGAATGGTCCCCTTACAGGGTGGAATGGTCCCCGTACAGAGTGGAATGTTCCCCTAAGGAGTGGAATGGTTTCCGTACAGAGTGGACTGGTCGCCCTCCCCGTCCCTATTCCGATGAGTGGGCTGCGGGAGTAGAGTGCACCTCCCCCCGTCCCGCCCCGCCTGGAACCCCGCGGACTGCAGCTAGATGGACAGATGTACTCAGATTTCAGACGGTAGAGGCAGAGGGGAGCTGGAAAGAAGACTCAGAATGGAAACTATGTTCTGGCTTAGTGAAGGCTAAAAACCAGGGGCTGTCAGGTGGACATGGTGTTTAGGTCATGTGGCGGCTTGTTCAGGTCATATAACTGTCAAATAGTGACGGAATTCCTCGGGATCAGTGTCAGTAAGGGGAGCAAGAATTGGAACTGAGAACTTCGCGAGGGCGTAAGTAGCAGTGCCACAAGTTCTAAAAATGGGACGAAGAGGTAAGTTCGGTTTGTGGATCTTAGGTAGACCATATAGGATACCTGGCGACGACCCAGACGCATACGAGGTGTGGCTAAAAAGAAACCGGACTGCTCGTGCTGACCATAAAGTAGGGGGCCCGAAAACTAGCGAGACACTGGACATTAATCTTTATCATATTGTCGTGATGTGTGCCATACGGCACCTCGATATCGCTATTATTCTCCTTTCCACAGCTCTTTGTTTTATTGATGACGCTGACGGTGGTCACTCCGGTCTGGATGTCCTCGACTGATTCAAAATGGGTTTCCTTGACGACGTTTTTCATTTCAGGAAACAGCCAAAAGTCACAGGGAGGGAGGTTTGGCAAATAGGAGGGTGCTTGAGCACTGCGACCTGCTTTTCGGCAAAGAACTGCTTGACGCTAATGGCAGAATGCACGGGAGCGTTGTCGTGATGGAGCACCCAGTTCTTTGCTTCCCAGAAACTCCACTTGGTGCGCCTGACTCGTGAAATGAGGCGTCCCAGGTCTTCCTTGTAGAAATGCTGGTCGACTGTGGTACACCTCCAGCACGAACTGGCGGTGAACGAATCCCCTATGATCGAAAAAGACGATCAATGTCGTCTCCACTCTCGACTTCGACATGCGCGCGGACGTTGATGGACCTCCAGACCTCGGGTCATCACCGACATCCTCACGACCAGTGCTGAACCTCGTATGCCATTCAAACACTTGCATGTTACACATGACTTGCTCCCCATTAACAGCCTTGAACAGATTCAGCGTCTCTGTTGGACTTTTCTCCAGTGTGGCAAGGAACATGATGTTCCCTCTTTTTTCGAAGTTCATTGTAGACGCCTGGCGATGACAAGGCCGCCGAACATCGATAAAACAAAGAGCTGTGAAAAGGAGAATAATTGCGATATCGAGATGCCGTTTGGCACACATCACGACAATATGCTAAAGATTAATGCCAAGAGTCTCGCTAGTCTTCTGGTCCCCTAATTTATGGCCAGCACGAGCAGTCCGGTTTCTTTTTAGCCACACCTCGTACAGTTCGTTGTACGTATGTTCGGTAATAGCACATGCTTTTTTCAACTTGCTGAGCAGCCTATTAACTTTAGGGGAAGGTGGGGTAAGACGGACCAGCTAAGGTTTGAGGCCGCATATCTTGCTACACTGCTCTCGTAATTCATATTATTTATAGTCTTCGGAATGTTCAATCCTTTTCCTCTGTTGATATGTGTAAAGACTAAATTTCAAATTAAAGACATCTAGGTGGTGGATGCTCTTCAAGAGGGACATGTCAAAAACTCAGACAAGAAAAAACGTGGGGTAAGACGGACCACCCAGCAGTGACTGCTATCCGTTCATGTGTGTTACACTTCTGCTCTGTACTCTTGTAAGAAAAAGTAACCAGAATGGTAAAATATCAAAATGAGCCTTTATTCTTTACTCATGTGTGATGGAAGTGCAGCTAAAAGCTGGGAACATGTGTGTTGATTGTCGTTTGGCATGAATGCATGCTAACTGAGCACTTGCATGCATGGCTCACATGCAACAAAGACTCCTTCCTGAAAAATTAGCTTACTTAAACTTGTGTCAATGTTTTGGAAAATAACTTTCCATATGCAGGGTACAATGGACCACCACAGGGTAAGATGGACCACAGTGGTCCGTCTTGCCCCAAATCTAAATTTTGTCATTATCATGACGTATATGTCAAATAGCCCAACATTGCAAAACCTTCCCTTTCCTAAAGTGTGACTATAACTAAGTTTATAACTTTGTTCTTCACAGTAAAGTGCAAAATAGAAACTAATCATGCAAGAAAGGCGCCGTAATTGAATCACCCGTAGACCTCTTATATTAGATCGGTTTGACGAAAAACAACATTTTTCTCAATAACTCAAAAGCTATGCATCCTAGCAGCATGAGCTCAAGGTGGCCATTGTTACGAAGGAAAACAAACATAGTGAGTGCATAAAGCAGTAGATACCAGCAGCGGTTCAGCCGGGAGGGCTGGTGGTCCGTCTTGCCCCGCTGGGCCGTCTTACCCCACCTTCCCCTATCTTCTACACGTAATAACAGTTTGTGAAGTGGCTCATTCACAAGACAAAACTTAGTGCGATCTGACAGCATCTTTGTAATCTTTGCTAGATATTGAGCTTTATCTAAAATCACGACCCCCCTCCCCTTGTCAGGTCTAGTTACCACAATAGAAGAGTCAGATGCAAAATCCTTCAAAGTCTTGACATCATTTTTGGAAAATATTGGTGAAAACACTCTGGACGGACGAAACGTGTTGAAAAACTTGTAACTCACGGTACGAATCTGCTGCTTGACATCTTGAAAATCAAATCTTGAAGGGAGTGACAAAGACGATAACTTCTGGACGAGTGTCTCGAAATGAATGAAATAACCATGAAAGCTGATCTTCCACACAGGTAGCTTAAATTCTAAGCCTGGTCTACCTATGGTCTACCTAAGATCCACAAATCGAACTTACCTCTTCGTCCCATTTTCAGAGCTTGTGGCACTGCTACTTACGCCCTCGCGAAGTCCTTGGGATCAGTGTCATGCCAACCCCCAGTTTATGGCAGCATTGTCTTGGTGAAGCAGTGTGCGTTTGTGGTCCATTGAGCAGGTGTAGCCTCTGCTCCCCCAGCTGACCTGATCGCCGCCCCGTTCACAGATGCCCATGTAAACAGCAGACCGACTTCGCACGACCGCCGGTTCCCGCTGGTCCGGTAAGTGACGCGACACGTCACATTCAGCGTCACATGTCAGTGCAGCGTCACGCCACACGTCAGCTGACAGTGTAACGTCACTACAACACGTAATGGAAGACATTTAGGTACCGCCAGATGTGTGCGTGGACCAGCGAGCCTTCAGTGGCAGCGCGGGATGTCGTTTATTTGCCACCCCACCGTGTAAAATATAATTAGCCAACGAACGAACGCCATGACAAGGTCATAATCATTGGAGTAGGAACGACTGTCGACTGGGACATTGTGGGTGCATGGGTACAGAAATCCAGCCATAGCCTGTGAAGCGGGGGGGGGGAGAGCGGTACCCGATATTAGAAAATGGAAAACGGTTTCAGGGGCGGGAGGCTCATCGCAAGCTTGCATGCAAGTGTACCATGTCGAAAAGGTGTCACACATGCATACATTGCTGTTGTGCCGCTAGTATCCGCGGCTAAGTTCGTTCCAGCTTCCGGATCCGCGATCTCGGTCCGCGATCTCACACAGCATTCTGAATAACGTAGTCCGGCTGTATTGGTGATCGGTGTCCGGCGGGGGCCGCTGCCCGACTGCTGCACGGCCGCACCGTGCCCGCGAGCTCCACGAGCTCAGCGCCACCAAGTCTACTGCACAAAGTTCAGAGGGCAGAGGGCTACGTCATAACAATTGCGTTTTGATGCTTTGGTAATGTCAATAATTCACGCAACTGTGAATTGTCTACCACTAAGAGTAAAAGCGGCGAGCTTAGCCATTTTTGAAGATATCGGGCCAAAACTTTTCACAATGGGTTACAGGTATGTGTTTATGTGTTCTATCACATGTCTTCCTTTTAACCTGACCACAAATTAACGTTAAAGACCATCAGTACAGTAGCAAATGTTTCGAAAGATGGGTAGTGTACAAAGTATCCTGAATTCGTCGTGCTGCATGGGAAGTAGTATCGATGAGAATAAATGTTTTTGTTTTAGATTATTGTGGGTGCAGAATATATTGGCTGCGCTCACTGGATAATAAGTGTGGATGTTACTGCACCATTGTCAAATTTCAAGTTGAAGAGCATGAAATGTTTTTCTCACATTGTACCTAAAGGGCGTACAATTTCCCGAAATTGTTAATCGAAAAGCACTGACAACCCCACGCAGAAGCCATAGTTTTTTTAATTAATGTGACCATCCACCTTTACATTAGTTTTGAGTTGAAATAGCCACATTGGGGTCCCTGAACTGCGAGTACCAGTTTGAGTACTCACAACATCGAGAAGTGTTTTGATTCGGAGATATTTAATTTAATAAAGTTGCAGTTTTCGGATTCTAAGGGCCTAATGCATTTGAATATCCCCTTAAAATTTGTGACGTCAGCGCAGGTTTAGCGATTCTTAAATCTAATGCTAAAAGAAAGCTGTTGCTGTGGCGGTATATACCTACTGCTTTGCGCGCAACGTCTGCCGCACTTTTAACCCGCGCACCGACGAGGGGGGGGGGGATATCCGCCCCACCCCCTAAGGTTTTTCGTAGATAGCGAGAAAACCGCGGCGCTACGCGCCGCGAAATTTGGCACGACTATTTTCTCATCAATTTTACACATGGTGTGCAAGTTTGAACCTCCGAACTTTTAAGGTCAGGTCACCAGGTCACTTTGAATGACCCAACCTCAAGTCACTTTTTTGCAACTTTTTCACCGTGCCAGAGCTACAGTAGATGTCGGAGGCCTTTGAAAGTCGCAGGATGTGATAAGGTCATTAGTAACTACAATTTGTTTCTCTCGGAATTTTGATATCGATGGCCTAAGGTCAGGTCAATTTCACGACCTCCCCATTATAAGTCAATGGGGGAAAAATCAACTCCCTGTTTTTACTACTAAAACGGGTCGGAATGGCCACATAAACCATACATGACTTCATATACGATCAACCTTCACTACCTTGAGGTCTGTTTTGCTGTTGGGCAGCTGTAAGGTCATATGACGTCATCAAAGGTCACCAAAGTTTTTTGCCAATAACTCCGTACAGGAACCAGATACAGCCGCGCGGATGGTCTCATTGTGTTCAGCTCGTCAAGGCGCATCAAATGATATACATGATGACCTCGAGGTCATTTGACCTGAGGTCAACCTTTGACCTTGGCCTTTTGAGGTCAACATATATATCATTCGATGAGGATTGACGAGAGGATCACGATGATGCCCTTAGTTTGTTCCTATCTTGACTAGTTCGCAAGTTATTCGAGAAAAACTCTCCATATCTGGCGCCGCCACTTTAACTTTTTTAACCCCTGTGACGTCAGCTTTGACCTGACCTGAAAATGAGTTTTTTTTTATTGTAGACCTTGTCCGTGCGTATCCCATGCCGTTTACCGCTTGTCGCTATCTTGCTTCGTTCTCGAGATCTCAGGGGCGCGGTCATCCGCCTCCCCCTCCCGTCGGTTCTAATTTGGCGCAGACCCCGTCGGTGCGCTGGTTAAGATACCAAATTATTGCTTTAAAATGACGTCATTAGAACAGAATAGGCCCGAAAAAGTAAAGGTTTAATATCTCGAAACCCGGGTGAATATTTTCTCTGAAGTTCGGCAGATATTCATTTTTGCTCTTTCTGAACCAAGGTACATCACTGTCATGCCATTTCATTGACTTTTTTGAAGGTGGGAGGGTCCCTTTAAGAAGGTGAATGGTGTTTCCCTAACCTGTCGTGCACTGCCCTGCACTCGCTGACCTGAGCTGTGTCTCTGGTGTCCTTTCAGACCTGTCGGCGGCCCCCAGCCGAGAGAACGGACGACCGGGAGACCGGCCGGCAGACGGACAGACGGACAGACGGACAGACGGACAGACAGACTGCGCGACACGTCACCGCCGGAGAGCCAGCCCCGGCGGTGGCGGCCCGGCGGGAACACAGGACGGCCGCCGCCGGAAACACAGGACGGCCGCCGCCGGAAACACAGGACGGCCGCCGCCGGCAGACGGCCAGGCCGCCGCGCCGGGCTGCCGAGCCGGCTGCGCGGCCATCGGCGCCACCGACCCACTGTGTGACGCCGCCGACCCACTGTACTGCGAGCCGCTAACGGAATACACGCTATCAGAGCTGTGCGACGCGTCTGAACCGGGGGGGGGGGGGGGTCTGTCAGTGCAGAACCGGGGGGGGGGGTCTGTCGGTGTGCCCGGGCGTTACGGCGTAATGGCCGCGTTACGGCGTAACAATCTCTTGCCGAGAATCCGTGAGGGCCAGCGAGCTTTAGAACGGTTTCTAATGGAGCTCAGCTCGTGTAGAGGCGAGGCCGACGCTTTGGAAGGCCACATTATTGTTTGCATGGCTAACCCGCGCCCCGTAGGGGAGGCCGAAACGCCCCCCCCCCCCGTCCTTTTCCGTCGATATCTCCTCAACGGCTGGAGATATCGCCACGAAAATTTCAGGACCCCTCCGGACTTCAGTTTTACACATTGTGACCAAAAAATTTCCAGCTATGATAGGTTGGCCACAAATGACCTCAGAATGACGTCATGTTCTGCCATTTTCAACCGAAAAAAGACCTTCGCGAGAAGAGCTGTCAGGCCTACAGCTTTGAAGATATAGGGTGTCTCAAAAGTTCGTTCACACATTTCCCATGCCCATAAAGCATATAAGAACTGGCCAAAAATCTAAGGTTTTGGTGTCTGTGTGCACACTAGACAAATATGCATGCTTTGACAACTGATTCGGAAGGTTGGAAATCAAACTATTTGCTGTATCTCCAAAAATATTTGTCCATACCGATTTTCGTCGCTCCGTCAGCTGCCGGAGGCTGATAAAAGGTTACCAGCTTTCAAGCTCTTGTAGGGGAATCCCCTGCAGTTTCTGCGTCGGATTTAGGTTTGACGAGCTCCCCGGCAACATCCGCTTCTCCCTGAAAGCCGACAGCTTGCATCGACACCATCCGTGAGTATTTTGTAGGTCTCCTCTGGCGATAACTCCTTCATGAATGACTGGCGCCGACCTCCTAAGCACCATTTTCCTTTTCAAAACAACCCCATTCCTGAACAAATGGGAAGTGCCAGGGGCAAATTTTTCGCAGCATATCGTAGAAGAATGTGTCGGCTATCTGTTTCTTGGACACGTTGTGCAAATCTTGCAAATCCCAAACGCTCATCATTCCCCATGACAAGATCTTCACTGGGTTGCGGAGTGTTTTCCTCAGGAGAGGTTCTGCTTTGTAAACGGCCAAAACCTGTCCATCGTGCGGTTTTGTCGGGATTTTGTGTCTAAAAGAAAGCTATTCGCTCCAGATCTGCCTCTTGAAACTTCATAAGATAAAATTTACATTAATTGACACTTTTGAAGGGTCAGTTGTCCTTGGCATTGACGATTTTCGTGTTATTTTCCCCCAAAATTTAGCGTTATAGATATAATAAACAATTTAAAATGATACTTTGTCTTTATTTTACGATGACCTGCAATTTGTGAAACTGGGTAACCTCTGTCTGTGAGCTTCTTGTCAGTTTTCAATAGTTATGACTTCATTTTAAGCTGCTTTCCGGAGCACGAGTCTGCTGCCGTACGAGGGTCGTTCAAAACGCTGTTAGTCTCGCATGGTTTTGTCCTTCAAAAATTTTAGCCACCGTTTTTATTAGATGATCATCATGTTGTACTCATCCTCGCCGACAGTTTGCCATGGGTCATTTCCGACTTAACCATTCCCATTACTCCTAAAATAGAGAGTTTCTCAGCCGACCCGATTTTGCGACCTCCATTTTCATGCCTGACCCATGGTCAGAGATGAACCCTTTTTGTGAGCTCATAAAGGGTCGAATGCGCTTGAAAACAATGAGACTGCTTGAGGAAGGTTGTTACGAATGCCCATGCAAAATTTCGACCGTTAATTAATTGTTGATTCAGAATTATTGACAAAAAAGCATGGCTGGTACCTGTGAACGAACTTTTGAGACACCCTGTACAGAAAAATGATTAAGACATAAAAGGTGTAGAATTGACAGGACTACAAAAGTTTTATCTCGGAATTTCGATTTTGAAGTTTTGACCCCCAAAAATCAAAAAAGCATATTTTTGATATATTAGCCAAAAAATCCAAAAAGTTTTTTTGAGTTTCAAAAAAACGGAATATGTGATAGTACCCACCGTCTTCTATCTACATACCAAATTTCAGATCGATATCTCGTTTTTTGGCCAAGGTATAGCGAAAAAACTGTTCAATAATGATGTCGTAAAATTTTCAAACTCAATTTTTGGCAATTCCAGACCACGTAGGGCAAAACAAAGACCATCATTAGACTCATGTAAAATGGACCATAAAACATGTATCACACGACACTTTCATATTGTGACCCCCCCCCCCCCAGTGACCTGACCTCTGTGACCTGAGCTGGTATCAGTGACCTCAGATAGCAAAGTATGTGTTTGACGAACAATGTACCATCGATGGTTTTCAATAACTTACCAATTTACTCGATTTCACAACACATTTCTTGAAATGCCTGTGAACGGTGAAAATCCGACCTTTGACCTGTTCTGTGACTTCATCGGTTTGACCTAGGTCAATGAAATTTGGTCACAAGGTAGTTCCTCGGTGGTGCTATCGAACGCCGTTTGAATTTTGAACATCGGCCGGTAAACTTCCGAGATCTTAGGGGGGCAGAAACGCCCCCCCCCTTCCCCTACGGGTGGTAGGGTCCGCCGATAGCCCTACGGGGCGCGGGCTAAGGATATAAGATGCTCCTGCGGGAGGTCGGTAGTTGAGGACATGTTTCTCACTGAGTTCTGACTAACTGTTGCGCCGAGTCCTGACAAGCCGCAGAGTTCAAAAAGTCTCAAATCTTCCACAAACTTTTTCGTCACCGAAAAAGTTTCCTTCCACATTTTTCCCCCTTCCACATTTTGCTACCCTCGAAATTATAGGTCTAGTATACCTAACAAAGGTACCTAGTACCTACAACGCTTCCAAGTACCTATTTCTCACAAAGACAATCTGGCAGCATCCGAGGAAAACTTCATGGGAAGCCATTGTCACCTGAGCTTAGCACAAAATAAATGGAACTAATATCTGAATGGCATGACTTTGGAAATTTCGTCAGCCAAATGACAAAATTTGACTGATAGGTTTCAATAGAATAGACAACATTCGGCACTGGCAATATAAAGATGTACATGACCATGCATCTAGCATAGGCTTATTAATGTTGGGGTCACTTTTTCAAGCATTTTGATAGCAGCACCCTGGGAACTGTTGCACTGAGTGATCCGCGGGTCGTCCTCTCAGAAAATTTCAATCAATCCCTAAAAATAACGCCAACAACACGGCCGGGAGGTGGTCGACGTATGTGGCACTTACCAGATAGTTTGAGAAGATGCCGCTCGGTTCAAAACCTGAGCCCTTTACGAACATCCGTCCACCGTGCTACGACCTGGCATGTCTGCGCAGAGAATCACTCCTCCCAACGTAGGGACAGAGACCGCGCAAGCCAATTTGGTCCTTGAGAAAGGCACTGTTTGTTTCGGCATTGCCAGTCCTTCACAAGTTTTGCAACACTTCACCAGCACCAATGCACCACGCCACTGTTTCACTGCAGTGAACTGAGCAGCTGATGAAAGCACAAATCTTTGCACACAAATTGAGGCCCTCGGCAAAAACGCTGGCAATGGCGGAAGGTTCAAACTGATCTGGCCGGTGGACGCCGCGAGCGAGTAACCGGAAATGAAGTGAAAGTTGGTGTGGTAGTTTGCATTTCGGTAGCGCCATTTCGGAGTCCGAGTGGGCAGAGGCGTCGGTCGCTGACGCGACGATCAGCGCAGTGACGACGTATCTCGAGTCCGGTACGTGGCCGAACAAGAGTTCGATGCCAGCGGCGGTCATGCCTTTCTTTAGAGTCCGCGCCGAGCTCAGCTGCAGGGGGAGCTTACTGTTCCGGACGGACCGACTGGTCGTCCCGGAGTCGTTGCGGAGTCGCGTGCTCGGGCTCGCGCACGAGGCTCACCAGGGAATGGTGGCAGTGAAGCAGCGGCTGCGGGAGCGGTTCTGGTGGCCGGCGATGGACGCTGACGTCCAGACAGCGCTCCGGGACTGTCCGATATGTTCCCGGCACGACGCGCACGCGACCCAGTGCCGTCCTCCGCTGCAGCCGATCCAGCTCCCGTCTGGACCGTGGAAAGTGCTGCAGATGGACTTCATCGGGCCGCTGCCGGGCCCAGTCAACGCGCGGTTCGGCCTGGTATTGTGCGTCTTGTACAGCCGCTGGCCAGAAGTCGTACTATGTTCAGACGCAACCGCATCCACAGTGGTGGAGTTTCTTGAGTCTCTGTTCAGTCGCGAGGGGCTGCCAGAGAGTGTCGTTTCCGACAATGGGCCACAGTTCCGTTCAGTGGAGCTGCGACGGTTCCTGGAGTCAGTGGGGGTGAAACACATTTTCAGCTCTCCCTACTCGCCGCAAACGTGCGGCATGGTGGAGAGGCTAAATCGCACAGTGAAAGGTGCGTTTCAGGCGGCTCGGCTCTCTGGGCAGTCGAGAGCAGCCTATCTCCGTCGTTTCTTGCGCGAATACAGGACAACGAAGCATCCGGCGACGGGTTGCACTCCGTTCCTTCTCATGCGAGGGCGGGAGATGAGGACAGCGTTAGACGTCCTCCCCGCGGAGGAGACCAGTGCTGCGCGGGAGCGCGACTCGGAGGTGCGGCCGCGGGTCACTTCGTACCAAAGACGCTACAAGGCGCGCCATGACAAGCGCACCCGCGCCCGCCAGCCGTCTTGGAAGGCTGGCGACTGGGTAAGAGTACGCCACCCGGTGACGAGAAAGCTGGAGGGACGGGAGCCGGTTCAGATCGCGGAGAAGACTGGCCCCGTTAGCTACCGTTTGAACACAGGGGAGCGGGTTCACGCGCGCCGACTGGCACCTGCCCAAGAGCCGACGGTAACGCTTAGCAGGGAGCCGGGTTCGATGGTCACGTGGGGCCCTACCCCTGGTCCCCAGTCCGATGCCCCACAGACTTTTGACTCGTCCTTCAGTCCCGTCGGCACTCCCCGACGGGAACAGAGCGTTAGGGACGGGGAGAGCCCGCCTCCGTTCTCAACTCCTGAGGCCGTTCCTGCGCTGCGCCGCGGTGA